TTCTAGGGTGTAGATACATAGTAACAATCTTGAAGATTGATTCTTGTTGACCCATTGTCCCTCCTTGATTCTAGGAAGCACTCGTAACTATCTTGACCCGGTCTGGTAGAGTCGATCGTTGACTATCATTATCGGTCAACCATTGTACAAAATTACCCCATAACATTTTGTATCTATGATGAATTGGATTTTGATGTAAATTGTATTTGATTGTTTGATCTTGAGAGGCTGAGATGGAGTACATATTACATTGTTATTGATTGTTAATTTATCATAGTGATGAAGGAAACAACTTACAATGCTTTATTTAAGAACTACTTTGAAGTAAATAATTTGTCGAGCATACTCGAATTAAAGGGTTTTTTATTTTATTTTATTTTATTTTTTTATTTTTATTTTATTTTTTTTGAGGCAATTAATTAATTAATTTATTATTATTATTATTGTTATTATTATTATTATTATTATTATTATTATTATTATTATTATAACTTCATGGAAGATTACTTATTATTATTATTATTATTTGGATTCGTGTTTTAATGATTAATATTTGTATGATATTGTTTGAAAAAAATTCATTGTGAGGTGGAGAAACTGAGCTAAATATGAAGGATATGTATCATTTTTCTGAAAAAAATTTCCCTTCAAGCAAACGAAGCCTAGTGAACTTCATTTGGCTAAAAGCCGTTTTTTTCAGTATTTAACATGATTATAATTTTTTTATAGCTTGGAGAATCACACAATTACTACAATCATTTTTTTTTTCCTCTGTGAGGCAAGACCAAATCTGTGACCTTGCTGTTAATAAATTTGAAGTCTTTAGACCACAATGTTACCAATGAGTTTTATGTTGCCTTGCTTTCTCTGTTAATATTACCCTTTGCTACATGTACGTCATAGGCGTGGAATATGATGAATATGACCTTATCCATTGCAAATAATTGTGAACTACGTGTGGACAATATGAAGAATGTATAGGAGGCACTATAGTATGTTTGATGTAGTTGTTTAATGCATGCACTTGCTAGTGCTAACTTTGCTTATACTTCCCTTTCAAATGCTGTATTAAAAAGTGTTCCTTTTAAAGTTGCTAATTAAGTTTTTTCTGCTTTGATTTTGACCTTTGTAGGATGGTGCAACTTTTGAAGTTGCGTTGGACTGGTTATGCTTAAATTTATCCCGGACTGAACTACCTGTTAAATTCCGTGATGGATTATCCATGCATGCAGGTGGCTAACTTAAACAACATTCACATCATGATGTTTACAAAATACTGTTCTAAATACCGTATTACATGTTTATAGTGTGGAAACCCTGAATTAGTGTTCGAATTTGGGAAATTTTGTCAACAACTACCAATTAAAGCATGTGTTTTGAAAACAACTACCTATTAAATTTTTTTAAAAGAATTACCACAAAGTTGTAAAAAGTTTACGTTGCACTACTACTCTAACAATTTTGGCTAAAATTTTCCGCATTTGAGTCTCACTTTTTATCACGTTTTATCTTTATGAAGGGTAATTTAGTCAATTTAGATGGTGATTTTACGAGGTAAAGGTAAAAAGTGGAACCTACATGCCAAATATTCTAAATGAAATTATTAGAGTGGTAGTGCTACTTTAACTTTTTACAATTTTGTGGTAGTTCTTTTAAAAGAAATTTTTAATAGGTAGTTGTTTTCAAAACACGCGCTTTAATTGGTAGTTCTTGATAAAATTTCTTCGAATTTGAAATATATATAATGTCTTTGTCTACCTTGTTTTAGGAGGGTCGATAGGTGTGGTGTCTACTGCACAAGAAAATTGGAATCCCCCAGCTGATACAACAACAAGGTCTGATGATGAAGTGCATAGATTTTCTGTCATAACTAGAGGTCGTCACAATGATGACTCCTTAGCTTTATATGAGCCATCTTAAGCTGATTGGATTCGTCAATACATGGAAAAAGAGGAAGAGGTATATTGTTGCCATCCTTTTTGTATATTTGTCATTTTAAAATCTGGGAGTATAAAGAAATGTAGTGAAAAGACCACGATGCCCCTAATTCAACTCTTTATTTTAATATGATAAGCTCCACTTGGCTTGAAACATAATAGGTTTTCTAAAATAGCATAAAAAACCGGAAATTTTTATATGTTTTTGTTTTAAAAATTATTAATGTGCGTGTGAATTCTTTGGAGTTTATACAATTGTTAACATTCTCTCTCTCTCTGAACCAATTGTACTTGTATATTTTTCAAATAATCACAACTGTAATGATCTCCTAATTTCCCTTGGTGTATGCAACCTGATTTTGCAATGCCTTACTTTTTCTTCTCCACAAATTGAAGTTTCTTTACTAAAAGAGCAATTTTAGTTTGATTTTTCTGTATTTTTTTAATTCCCTTCCCGTTTTTGCTCTCTTAAAACATTTATTTGCTAGACTAAGGTTCTGAAGTGGGTAAAAGCTTTTGTCTTAGTTACTAGTTTGGGGAACAGGCACCAAGGGCTTTCCAAATAACACTATTCCCAAATTACTTTGTAATTCTATTTATTTGTCTCTTGGTGGGGACTCTTTGTCCTCTTGTACTTTGTGGTTAGTTTATTTGTAGTTAAAGTATAACATTTTTCGTATCAAAATATTTGTTTGTTTTGATATAGTTTATTTGGTTTGGTTGGTATACATTTCATGAACCCTCCTATATTTGAGGTCATTTACAATATATATCGGTTAGAAAGGTGAAAGGTTTCCGTTGAAGACAAATGGTAAGAATGTTCATGGTTGAGAATTTTCTTCAGCTACTTTGTCAAAGCGAGTGGTGTATTTAGCTTTCTTTCATGCTAATGGAGTATTAAGTGTTGTGTCTGGCCTGTCAATTGGTTGGTCAGTTGAGTTAGGGTAAAGTTATCTCGGGTTACGGGTTATTTTGGGCCGGGTTATGCGTTGAAACATAAAAGACCCTAACCCAAAGTTTTGGTTCGAGTTAATCCATTGGGTTCATATTATTTAATTTTTTCGCCTAATATTATAAAATTTAGACATTTCAAACATTGTTTGCACCTTATTATTTCAATTGTTAAGCAACAAAGGCTGTCAATTTCCAACTTTTAAGCAACTTTTCTTGGATTAACGCCGGTTGTGCAACTCTTCATTTTGGAGTCATTTCTGGCAACCGAGGAAGTCCAGTTAGAGATGAGTAAGACTGAAAGAAATGGGAGGCGATTAACTTCAATAGTATAAAATAGGATTTGCATTTTCCTGTTTAAGTTACTGCTTACTTTATATTAAAAAAAAAGCCTTGTAACCCAACGAGTAACCTAGCCCCAACTCGTTTTGATTTGCTTTTGTGCAGGTTAAATGTGTTCAGGTTAAAATGGGTTTCAGGTTAATAAGATGTGTTCAAATTCCAAAAAATGGTTCGGCTTTTTGGGTTGGGTCAATCTTTGACATATTTAGTTCCGTCCCTTTATTTTCTTTAATTTTGGTCAACTTCTGGTCTATTGCTTGCTTCATCTTTCTTATATATATATATATATATATATATATATATATATATATATATATATATATATATATATATATATATATATATTGTATGTGGACGTTTATGAGCATTATATTGTTTGGGGTTCAAAGTTGGAGGGAATAATTGTTGACAAGATGAGAAATGGTGATAAAGATGACAGATTAGGGAGTGCTTAGAGAGTACTAAGAGAGTGGATTTCAAGGAAGATGGGAAGATGTTGGTGGTGTTGGGAGCACAAACTATTTTGGTTTTACCATTTCCTAATAAAAATCAGGAAAACACTTCCTTTTTAATTCCCTTTTGTAGTTGGGCTATTGGTAGATGCCTAAATATTTGGAGGATTCAAGCTTTGGTAGGCACCCCTTGTTATTTGTCGATGAATGTAAGGTAATTTTATGAATATCATGTGGTAATCTATGTAGAAGATGGGCCAGTAAAACGTAAATGGCCTCACGTTGCTGGTTTAGCTGGGCAAATTTTTTTTAATATATTAGTAATGAGTTAAGGATCAATAGTTATCCATTTTTTTTTCTTGCATCTGAATGTTTTTAATTGCTTTTGCAGATAGAAACCGAGAATTGTGAAGATATGCTGTCAGATGAAGATTCTTGCAAAAAGGTATTAACATTGTTTTGCCATCATCTAAAGTTCTATACTTTAGTAGTTAAGGCTGATAAGGAGAGCTTCATTATCTTTTATACGGCCTTTGTTCCTCTAGTATCGTAACATAGTGGAAGGGCATAAGATTTTAGGTAGTGGGAAAAAAGGAAGAAAGATAAAGGCAAATTACAAACTTGTTTATGTGATTGCAAGCATTAATTAAAGTAACAACTAGCAAGGGTGACCTGGGTGTTTGCAGTGCAAAAATAGATACTCGTTCTCCTAAATGTATGTTGCAATTTTGTGAAACTTCCTATAGGGGTAAATGTTGCAATATTATAAGAACCGAGGAAATGTCTAGGATTGTTGTTATGTCATTCTTGTTATTATTTTTTTTATTATTTTTATTTTAAATACAGAAATTAAACATCCCATGCAATGGAAAAGAATTATAACTCTTTTTGTTTAGATATCTACTTGTGAAGTGTGATGCATTTGAATATGATTAAAATTTATTTCTGACTAGCATTAGCAGTAGTTACTAACTTACTAATGCTTTGTAAAATGATGGCAATAACGTTGTACTTACTAATGCTTTCAAAAATGATGACAACAATGTCTGTTACAGGAACCTAGGTCATATGGTACAATTATTGAGGAGTACCAATCCGCACATTTGGAAGCTTTTGTTGCTAAGGAGAAAAAGGACAAAAAAAGCCAAGAAGCAGCTAGCAATAAAATCCGCCTGTTGAAGCAGGAGATTTCTGATTTAGGTTGATCTTGATTATATGAAATTCCTGTCAGGGTTTTTAGACAAGTATGATTCAATCTAAGAAGACTTGTATTTTTGAACCAGGGGAATTGAATATGTTTATGTCTAATATTGCTAAAATGGAGGCACCTTGTTCTGTATACAACATGGAGGGCAATTCTAATATAGAAGCAATGGCTGATTCATTAATTGATAAAGTGGGGATGGAGCATTGCTCCAAGGATGAGGCAACGGTACAAAACGTTCCTTTTGACGAGGTGGTACCTCTACAAGAGGAATCAGAAGATATTGATCTTTGCAACATTTTCATGGAAGGTGACTCAAGTAATGCGGCCTTAACTCCTGAAGTCGTGATGAAACAAAACAAAGCAAGAACAAGAGGATTACCAACTAGTAAAGACTTGGAAAAATTGGAGGGCATCTGGAAAAAGGTACTTTGACAACATATATTGTTCTTTAGGCTTCAGCACATCATGCTCATGGTTATTTCCTGGTTTGTTACTTTTGATGTAATGCTTTTTTTCTTCTTCAAGTATGACTTTGCTGGACTGCAATTCCATTTGTATCTGCCTTTCTTCTGATAGTAAATGTTCTTTTGTCTAACATTAATAATGTAACAGAGGTTATCACAGTATTAATTTAATCTACTTCCTGACTTAAGAAAGTGAAAAGGAAAATTAAGTAAAGTACAGATTAATACAGTGTTGATTTTTCTGCTAAGTACATTGTACAGCAAGATATAGGAGAAAGAAAGAGTAGGAAACATTTACTTGTAGTGTTAATCTTTGATTCACTTATAAATTTCAATGCATAATAAAATATTTATCTTCGTTATATTTCAGTGCGTCCTCTAAATCTTGTGTTTTTCATTACAGCTGTATCACCTGTATGATTGTTATATGACTATATAATCTACATATTACAGGGGGGTCCACCTAGGATTCCTTAAGCTGTTCTTCATCAATTGTGCCAAAGATCAGGTTGGGACCCTCCAAAATTTGACAAATTGGGTAAAAAAGGAAGTGGTTTTAATTATAGTGTTAGTGTTTTGCGTAAATCTACTGGGAGGGGTAAGAGCCGAAAAGCTGGTGGTTTGATCACACTGCAGCTCCCTGGACAAAATGAAACTTTTGAATCTGCTGAGGTACTGACTTTAGTCCCTTTTCAAGTCTGTGACTGCATAATATATTTGACGATCACAATGAAGAGCAAGCTCCTTATTATTGTATGATATGTGTTTTATAGACCATCATCTTTATTCATTTTTCTTCAATGCACTTTTGAGTGTGGACCTTCTTGTTAGGATCATATACTTGCTACCTACTTTGGCATTGAGAATTTGATAAAGTAGGATGTTTTGGACTTTGCATTTTTCTTATCCTTAAAGAAAAGTAGTTTTGGGTGTTTTCTTCCATATTGGTGTACCTCTAGATTGATTTATGTTGGCCATAGGAAATAAAGGGGAGGAAGACTCTTAAAAGTGGCTTGTTGACTCTTTTGGGTAAATTGACCACATTGGTATAAAAGTTAGCATGTTAGCGACACATTGATATAAAAATTATTACCGACCATAAATTGGTAAAAAGGTTATCAAGTTGTTGGTATAAAAGTTACGAAAAATTGTCACCATTAATCCCAAATTTACCTCATTTGCCAATATTAATCCCAACTTCAATTTATTCCCTATCACTCCCAACTTTATACCCTATTAATTTTATCACCCCAATTGACTTGAAACCAGTTGAAGACTTAATCCTCGCTGACTTAGGATTACTTGCACACATGTCGCAACCTGATTGGTTAAAAAGTAAAAAAAAAAAAAAATCACGCCTAGCCAACATCCTTCGGAGCGCCGGCCACCGCACTGCTTGGCCATGTGTCGTTGCTGCCCCGGCCACCGCCCACGTACGTATGACTATTTGCAAAACTTACCCAGCCTTAAACGGTAGTTTTCCCACCCAAAACAACCGCTTCCCTCAAAAACGACCACTAAATTGGCCACAAACGGCTTAAATCAGCAGGTTTTGGGGCTGAATGGTTGATTTCAACCCTAAACCGGCCGATTTCGTTGCGGTTTGCCAATGGTTTCGAATGTTAGGGTTATGGTTTGGAATTTAGGGGTTAGGATTTGGTGGATTTTGGCTGGTTTACGTAGTAATCGAAGAGGAAATAGGAAGTGGTCGGAAGCACCGGCATCGGCGCTCGGGGGGGAAGGGGTTGGGCTGGTCGTGGTGGCAACGGGTGTTGTTGATAGAATTGCAGCCGATCTATTGAGTATGCGAAGTGCGCAGGGAAGAGGAGGTGGCAGGGACGCGGCAATACGGAGGTGGGAGAAGGGGAGGTAGTGCTGCCGGCGTCATGGATTACTGGTTGGTTGCAGGTGGCCGTGGTGGGAACCATAGAGGGCAGAGAGGGAAGGGGGAGGAGGGAGGAGAGAAAAGGTTTTTTTATTTTTTTTATTTTATTAATTTAATTTAATTTATTTTTTAACTTTATTTATTTATTTTAATTTTTATTTTTATTTTTTAAGCCAATCATACGCTGACATGTGTCTTGTAAACTGTAATATTAGGTTGGATGACCGGTTAGAGGTGATAAAAATTAATAGGGTATAAAGTTGAGAGTGATAGGGATTAAACTGAAGTTGGGATTTATATTGGCGGATGAGGCAAAGTTGGGATTAATGGTGACAATTTTTCTTAAAAGTTAACTTTTAAACCATTTTTTTCTTAACGCATCACTTTAATTTAATTTTAGTTTAAACTTTTCAATATTGTGTATTTGTTGTTTTTGTTAATACTTATTTGATGTGAAATACTTCATTTGTCCATGTCCATACACCTAAGATTATCGAAATATAATAACAAAAAAAATTATAAGAGTAAACGTTTTAAAATCTCAAAATTGGTAGGAAAGAGAAATTCCTTGGATTTAATGTCTCAAATCATGTTGAAAATGACGTGTATTTTCTAATTTTTTAAGAAAATGGAAGCAATTTTATTTATAAACTGTTAGCTCGATGTAATTCCAAACTTATAATTCGTATGCATGATCTTGAATTTTCCTCTATTATTCTTTGTTTTTTCAATAGAGTCCAAGAAATATTCAATAAATATTTAAAGAAGAGTAAATAAAAACATTTAAGAATAATGATGTGTACAATATGCGCTTATTCCGGATAGATAGTGTAAAGGGTTAAATGTCGCCACTCACTAACTTTTATACCAATATGTCTCACCTTTGATAGTTCAGCTCAAAATAATCACATCCTTTACATCCTGTAGGGAATATTTCAAGCATTACCCCAAACTTAAACCCCATTCTGATCATACACTTAAGAATGGTGGCGTTTTAAGGGAAGGAAGCTAGAGCAAAAGAGTCGCCAACAAGTTTTAGGAACTTGTAAACTGTTCACAGAGTGTAAGTTACACCCCTTAACGATCAAGGAGATTGTTAACTCAAATAGGTTTGGAACCAAGACTGGAAGTTCGGGGATGAATATACAAATCTAATCTAAAAGAGAAAGAACCCGCCATAATAAATAGGCCTCTACTTTAATCTTCTCGTATCTATGTGCGCTTTCTGACTAACATGCAATCATTAGGTTTACCCTAAACCTGTTTATCTATGTTGGTTAAATATTAGCGCACAAACAAATCTATTATTGGTGATCACTTGAATTATAATCATATTAGCCCTAAACAAGATTATTAATTATCTTATTAAGCGTGATTACAAGTACAAATTCCCTTTAAACATGCATAAAAGGTGTGATCAAGCAATAACAATAAATAAACTCAAGCAACATAATAATCATAAAAATAATAATCATAATAATAATCATCAAAATGATAATAACAATCATGTTAAAAATAAAGCGTAATAATAGCAAGATTGTTGTTTTAATGAATACTACAAGAAGGGGGGGTTGAATTGTAGTATGAGAATTTAGCCAAACTTTTTGCGGAATTAAAATTAAGTTAGCTAAAGGAACTGAGAGATTAACTAAAGGAACTAAAGAATGCAAGAGAGATTTTACGTAGAAAACTCCTTGGCCCTAACAAGGAGAAAAACCACGACCACTTGGTATTTTGGGAAAAGAATCTTCACTATAATAGGGAAAATGATCCTATTACAAGCTAAAGACTCAAACTCAAGTTCCTCTACGAACTTGAGACCCTGAGGAACAAGTCACCCAACTTGTTACTCTTCTCTTTCTCTCTTCTCACTGTTCTCTCTTCTCTTTCTCTTCTCTTTCTCTTCTCTCTCTCTCATCTCTTTCTCATACACAAACTTTCACTCGAACTTCCCCATTCCCAATTACAACTCGAAAGAAAAACAAACTCTAATATAAGAACATTAAGAACACTCTAATGAACTTGTGTGGAATTGACACTTGACTCGATTTGAAGCTTGAAAACTTATGTGAGCAAGGGTGAGTTTTTCCAACAGAAATCAACAACTATTTATAGACCAAAATTGGTTTAGGAAAAACTTCTTTGTGCAGCAAATCCACAACGCCACTACTCCAACCAACTAAGAAGATCATGTTCCTAAAATTAAGAAAACATGAACTCCTCAATGTGCAAGAGCATGACTTAAAGAAGATCATGGAGGAGTAGGCCGCACGTTTTTAGAAAAACGTGGGAGATTTTATTTTCTAAAGATATTTTCGAAAATCAGAAATAAAATAAAATCTTTTTGGTTAAAAAAGATAAGCTTTAAAAACTTAACCACTTTCCTAAAAACTAGCATGCACATATTTTATCTTTTAGACCAATTCCACACAGATTTTTCGAGTGCAAATTAATATCTTATACTTACATAAATCCTAAAATATAAAAATATATTTAGTCTTCATGTTCTCTGATGAAACTTCTACTCCGAGGCTCCTGTTCCTTGGGAGGAATTTCTCTTCTCTGACTAGGCTTCTTCTCTGAAGCTTCTGTTCCCTGAGGGAACCTTCTCTTCTCCGGTCTTCATTTTTGAAGCGCCAGTTCGTGTGAGGGAACTCTTCTATATGGCTAGCTCTGCTTCTTGCCTTCTTGTTCCTCATGGTATTTTTACAAGACACTTAATTCTCCTGGTCTTTATATCTAAGTACACACTTAAACAATCAAGCACTTATTAGTTTGTAAGTAAGTGAGGTTTTGTCATCATTAAAATCATTAAGTCCAACAAAGATCCTAGGCATGATACTAACAAGATTAATAACAAAACCTAGCATGTCACTAAACAATAAAAATCAAAGCTTTAGCCCTAACATGACACTAACATGCTATTAGGAAAAAAAAATAGGAAGCATCACAGAAATCACAATTGATATAAGGAACTTATTCTTTACCCTAAACATCATACTAAGAAAAGCATCCTAACATGATACGAGGAAAAACATCCGAACATGGTACTAGGAATCAAAATAACAACCTAAACATGATTTCTATATCATAATATCAATAAAACAATTAAAGCACTTACTTGGATGCCTCGTATCTCTTTCTAATTACAAAATACACCCGTTAGTAATTTCAAGGAAAATATAAAATCAAACAATTAAATTAGGGCTTGTTTGGCATTGTTTTTTGTTTTCAGTTTTCAGTTTTTTTGAAAACAAAAAACCAAAAACAAGAAACAAGAAAAATGTATTTTCACTTTTCTGTTGTCAGTTTTCAAAATTAGCATGATTTTAACAAGTTTGACTAATTTTTTATTCATTATATGACATATATCATACACTTTTAAAATACAAAAAACCAAAAAACTGAAAACCGCAACAATGCCAAACAAACCCCTTAAATAATTGAAATAGAGATTTAGGACCAAACCCTCAGATATATCAAACCTTTCACGTCTAGGGCGAAGACAACATCGAATTTGTCTAGGTGTGTGTCTAGATCTTGTGAATGCGGAATGTTGTTTGTAAAAAGCTAGTTTAGAAAGAGAGAGAGAGAATCAAGAAATTCTTGATGAGAGTTGGTGATTAAAAACGGAAGTCTAAGGACGCTATTTATAATAAAATAGTCCGAATTTGACAAAAAGAATCAAAGTTTGAAAAGGAATAAAACACGCCTCTGTCGCCAACAACAGCTACATTTTTCCACACGTTTTCTATTTTTTGATAAAATTAAGTCATAAAAGTCCGTACGAGGGATAAAATCGTAATTTTACATAAAACACTTTTTTTATTCCAAATAAAACTCAAAAAACTTAATTATCAATCCTAATCCCATTAGGATTCAAAAGAACCTTGTAGAAGATTCTAGAAGACTATAATCAATCCTAATTGCATTAGGAATGATAATTCATAATAGGCCCTCCTCTAGATCATTGGGCCGCATATAAAGGTCAAACCGGACCCAATTTAGTAATTTGGCCATAACTTCCACATTATTCATCGGAATTGGGCTTATAATATATCGTTGGAAAGCTCTTTTCGAGCCCAATCCAACTACACTATTATTGGACCCTTTTTATGGACCAAATTCAACTGGATTGATTATTTTCATAAAATAGAGTAGATTTTCGAAAACAAAAAGAGAGATTTTTAGTAAAAACCAACCGCAACACTAGACTTTTCACACTTTCACCTCGTTCGATAATCAAATGACATGAAAGGTATGCATCACTGGGTTTGGTTTTGGGGAGACACATTTGGGTGTCTACACACCCATTTCTCAATTTTTTTCCTTTAATTTCTCTCGTCCCACCTCAGCACCCTCTTCCATGGCAACACACCTCTCCTTAATAACAACCTTGATGACCATCACATCACCACCCCAAGATCGAGGAAGGGGAATGTTAATTATTTATTTTTATTGTTTTTCAATTGTAAAAAAGACCAATTAGAATGTGACACATTGCAAAGTAGATAGGGGTAAACGTGGGATTGTTTTGAGCAAAATTGCTAAAGGTGGGATTGTTTTGAGCAAAATTGCTAAAGGTGGGATTAGTTTTAGTCTTTTCAATTTTTTCTAAAAAAAAATTGGAATAATACGAGAATGGGCTAACAGAAGACCATGACGAAGTGTGATGATCTTTTCAGTAAATAGATATAAGCTCCATTGGCTATATGGTTCCCCAAATGATCCCTAATAACTATTCTTGCAGCATTATGAACAAAAAATTTGTCAAAATTAAGTTTACAATAACCAGTAGGAGGGGGAGACTAGCTGACAAAACCTGAATGTATAGCCTTGGGGGGAGAGGAGGGGGGGGGGGCAAGAACTGTAGGGTACACCAGGTTACATTAATTGTACTTTACATCAGTCAGTTGAGGGTAACTTTTAACCAGTTTGGGATAACTTTAAACCTGGTTTAGGATAACTATAATATGTTATAATCTTTTACTTGGAAGGTTTTTTATTAAGGATAAAATTTATAATAGGTAATATGGTTATTTTGATGCATTAGAAATAAATTTTACTGTGCAAATTTCTTGCAAAGAGAGTAATATTATATGTAAGACATAGCTAACTTTTATCTTATATCATGGTTACTGTTGAGCATATTAGGGTAATTGTACCTTTGGTGTACAATATTTACACCCAATTTTTTAAGAGTTTGTGTGGGGAAAATAGGAGTCAAAGTAGATCTAGAATCCATAGAATTGAGAAGGGACATACCGACATAGGTTGCCATTTCTTACATGCAGAAAAACTTCTGATGCGTCTATTAATTAAATTGATGTTACTATTTTTAAATATGATATTAATTCTAGTTTTCCATGTACTCCATAAAAAGAGTACTGTATTAGAAATATTGCAAACTGAACTAATTTTCAAAGTGCAAAAAAACTCAGTTAAAGAGTGGTGGAGGTTATTGAAACCTACCCAATCAGTAGCATAAGTAGAGTTCCAGAGATCAGAGTAGAAGGGAAACTGAGAAACAAGTGCTATTGTGCTTAAACATGGGATTTACTGAAAGGACAAATGTTGGAAATGTCAAGCTGACGATAAGATACAACTCGCCCTTGAATTTTCTTAACGACATGACTTTGTGTTACTACTGCTTGGTCTGTTTAAATATGAATCAGTCTTCAATGGATCTATAAGTATAGTGAGTTGATCAAACAAACCTATATAAGTAATAAGCAACCAAACAATAAGGCCAGGAGGGGTTCAAATTTATCGTGCCAGGGGGGGTGGGGCCGTGGGGGTTTTACATTTATCATAAGTGTTTTGTGAAGAGTGAAGATATGTTCATCTACAAGTAATTTGCTAAAGATTTGGATGACAATAATCTTATTAAAAGTACATAGTATGTATATTAATCGTTATTACCTGTAAAGCAATATTTCATCATAAAGGGTTTATAGTTTTGGACTAGATACTTTACATGGCACACCTTGAGCTTTTTGAAAAAGTCTCCTATATGTACTTGCATTCTTGACATTAGATTTATTGTGTTTTATGCCTAATCTTTGTAGTAAAGTAGTAAACAAGATTCGGATTCAATCATCAGAGAACTCAACTAGTGTATGACTTGAGCAGTGTCTCTTTTATTGTTTTATTGTTCCAAGAAGCGCAGAATAGAGTAGCTGCTTTTCCCTTTGCCGCTTGTTTCCTGATATACCTGTTCGGTTTCTGATTACAGAGCCATATGCTTCGCTGGTTGTAAAATGGGAGGAAGGTAAGTGTTGTGAACTTTGGAATGCACTGATGATAGTTCTATGCGTCATTATATTTCTCAAAAGCTTGTGCTATCAGGGGATTTGTCAGACGTGATTGAAGACTCTATGGAAGATCGAAGGGCTGGTTTTGTGGAATCATTGTTAAATGCGGATTCTTCAGTAGGAATTAGTTCAGCCGATGTTTGTGATAATTCCAATCAGAACAAGGTTTCTGATATGTTTGATGAACAATTTGCTGCTGCAAGTCTTCAGAGTATGTGAACTTTTATGTTTAATTGGTAGCCACTCTGATTAATTTGCATTATTGTTGATGCTCATTACAAGATTAAAAATAGCTTCAGATGATGTATTTAAAAATTTAAGCAGCAGAACCCAAGGCATTCTCAAAACTCTACAAACGCAAGCCATGAGAATGAAAATGTATAGTGTAAGTCTGTAGAAGCTGTAGGGAGTCTACTAGAAGCAGCATCTTGTATATCCCATGGTAAAAGTCAATTTTACAAATCATCTTGAGTTAATGAAATACAAGAATTTATGTTTAAAAGGTGCTTTGAAAAAGCATAAACAACTAAATCCAAATTTAACTCATATTGGGTAAAGGTTCTTGGACTGAATTCCACTTATCTGCTTGTGTGGTTGATAGCAGTCTTAAGGTAACATTGTGAAACTGAAACATAACATTATAATGTGATTTTCAACCAGCAGGGAAGATCCGACTTCTGTTTATGTCAAATTCATATTTGAACTAGCTGGATGTCAGACTGTTGTGTAGTAAACTAAAAAATTGAATTCCATCATAACTATATCCAAAAGTACTTTTTGAGATTTAACATGTGTACATCTCTAAGGACTATAAACAGTCTAACACTCTAACCCCAAATAATGGATTGAATATGTATTCCCCTTCCTCAGAAAATTCTTTTATATTTCATTTATTTGTGAAGGTCAATATTACCTCATTTTGTATCTTAAGCAGTCTGCAATGATTTCTATTTACAGTTATTGGGTTGGTTAATGCATTTTGCAGGCAATAACCCTTTGAAAGAAAAGGAAAGTTACTTCTTAAGACAAGAACTAGAAAACAAACAGAAGTCACCAAGATACAAGGTTTGTGTCTAAATATATATATATATATATATATATATATATATATATATATATATATACTTATGACTAATTTAATTATGTGCTATATGAGCTTGTAATTATATTGCGTCCTCAGGATATTTAGCATGATAAGCTCTTTGTTCTTTTCTTGCAGAGCATGTTGGAAGCCAGAACAGCACTTCCTATAGCTAAAACAAAAGGTGAGATATTGCGATCGTTGAAGCAAAACAATGTCGTCGTTGTTTGTGGGGAAACAGGATCTGGGAAGACAACTCAGGTAACTGAAGCTGGCGTATTGTTTAAGAATTTCAGTGAATCCTCATATCCTTCTCTCATAAGCTGTCACATCTTGATGTATGAATCTGCTGGTTATTTTATGTCTTATCAGCATGATAATTTTAACCTATCTGGTATAATTGTAGGTTCCACAATATATACTGGATGACATGATTGTGGCTGGTCGTGGTGGGCATTGCAACATTGTATGTACACAGCTACGGAGAATAGCCGTAAGTGCCTGTCTCCTATGATGAGTGTCTTGTATTGTGGTGCTGAGGAGAATCTAAGCCATATTTTCTTGCATTTTTGGTTGGTACCCTTTTCTTGGGAAGTTCTTTACCATGATGGGAAACAATTGTGTGTGTTTTTATAGCACCCCAAGTGCCTCCTTTAATAAAATCTGTGTTCCCTAAGAAAAAAAATTCTTGGGTCAGACAATCTGACCAAACAACATTAGACTTTTGAATAAAATTTTAATTTCGGTCACCCTTCTTATAATGTATAATCCGTTGCGGATAACTGGTAACTTTTAACGTATAAACGAAACTTATAATGTTATGGAATGTAAGTAGGGCCTAAATTTGTGGTTGGGTTGATATATAGTGGTGTTAGTTGTTGGGAGACTTCTCTTGTAGGTGTTTATGGGAATTTTGATGGATAAGGTGGTGTTTCATGATGACTAGTGGCACTCGGCTGTTAGGAGTGGTGGTTGGTGTTCAAATTCCGGAGGGGAGGTGGGAATGAAGAGTTTTATAGTTGTGGGAACTCCAAAGATTAAAATGAGTGTAACGGAAAATGGAAAAACACTGACCAAACACACACTTATAGAATTAATGGTTAATTTACCTTTCTGAATTACTTCCAACCAAACAGCCCTATCGAGAGCACAGATTTTCTCTAGCCTTGTTTAACTCAAAAATCTTGATTTTGATTGGGATACTAAAGTTTGTTTAGGATTAGATTTATTACTTTATTATAACCTTTTGTAACTAGTGTGGAGTAACGTATGATGCATCATTGCTGTTTATAAAATTTGTTGTTTGTGTTTTCTTTCAGGCTATTTATGTTGCTGAAAGGGTGGCCGATGAGAGATGTGAACCTGCACCTGGTGTAAATGGATCATTAGTTGGTTACCAAGTTCGGCTAGATAGTGCAAGGTTCCCGTTTCCCTTTCTTTCGCATAGGTTTCTCAGGGCTAATACCTATAAATGTTTCTTTCGATTTTTCAAAGTAATCGATGCAAGTTTCAGAATGATGTTCCTATTTACGTAAATCGATGCAAGTTTTTACCCATCTATGACCGCAAATATGTTTAATCTCACATTAACAAACGTTATAAAAGTTAGATATTAATAATTTACTCATTGAGACGAATCAAACTAGATCCCACATGACTATATTTGTTCTTATAGATTGAGAGAAATTTAGAAGATTTCCTCTTATTTTTAAAAGTCAAATATTTCAAACAGAAACATCATGAGGGAGTAATTTATAATTATTCTTCTACCTTGCATGTTTTAACATAGGAAAATGAAGATACTAGTCCAAGTGTTCTACTAATTTCTGATTAATTGAGTATATTTGGTACAAAATAAATTGTTGAGATCCTAAACCGATGTTTGACTGTTTGACCTGGTAGAAGTGCTATGAAGTGTACAAATAATGTAGAGCCATCTTATAACTTATGAGGTGAACTATATGGCTGTGAACTAAGCTTATGAATAATGACTATGTTCAAATTGAAGTATCTAATTATATACAATGAAGGTTGAATTCATGTTATTAGTTGCCATCTAAGGATAATGCTTGGAGGTTGTATGGACAGCAGAGTAATCTTTTCCCATTATCCTCATCTAATCTTGCTATATGTACAAACTCTAAAATGCACTTGGTCTGCACTAATGTATTGTGGACAACTAATATTAGAGACATTATGGTTATTTTATTTATTTAAAAAAAAAGGCCACTATATTAAAATAAAGGTTATTATGTTAAAATAAAAGTATTGTGACATTATAAAGGCTATAAGAAGGTGTTTATTTATTTTTATTTATTTATTTTATTTTTTATTTTATTTTATTTTATTTTGAATTTTTTTTATATATTAATCAATATTAATAATAATGGTTACTATGTTAAAATTAGGACAAGTATGTTTAACATAAAGTCCTACTTCAGGTTCACAATAATATTAAATGTCACACAAGTTTTTTTTTTTTTTTTTTGGTAAATAAGGAATTTTATTACCAAAGAGGAGTTACAACTTACAAAAGATAAGCTATAACCAACACAAAACACCACAAGACCTGAAAACAAGCCACACAGCCACAAACAGTTCCAGATTCTAACCTAGCCACCTTCTAGGAAGGTTTCTAGAAAGAACCAGGAACAAAGACGGACTCAGCCACCTTCTAGGAAGGGTTCTGGAAACAGGACCAGACAGACACCAAAAGTACAAAGCAGCACGGCAGACAAACCTGCAACCTGCATCAACCTACAACAGAACAGCCAGAAGTGGAACTTGCTAAAAACCAGCAGACATACCCAGACAGGGTTCAGAAGAAGATCCAAAACACAACAATCCGAAAGCAGCCAAGATACAACAGATTACAAAATGAGCTATAGCCCAAAAGATTACATCTACAAGCTACACAAAAGGTTACATCTCTAAAAATCCCGGTAAAGATCAAAGAGTTCCTATGGATCCAAATGTGATAGTGCAAAACACATGCCAAGGAGTCTATTTTTAGGCCTTGCCAATGCTATTAACCCATTTCATCTCATCAACAAATGGAAGAATAGTCATGTTACAGCCCAAAAGAGACAAAATTCTGCTCCAAACATCCTTAGAGAACTAACAGTCAATAGATGCTGAGTAGGTTTTATATTCTGAGAACAAAGAGAACAGGTGGGGTCACAAGTTATACCCCAAGTTTGCAAATCTATCGTTAGTGATCAGCCTGTTTCTTGTTTCTTATTGTAAGCAACAAAATAAAAAGGCTCTTAGGAGAAGCCAAGTTATTACAAATAACTCTTCTCCTATCAACCTTAGGCACGGAAACCATAAGCTGATGGTAAGCTTTCTTGATTTTAAAATTCCCATTATGCGGAAAAGCATCCCAGCTTCCAATAGAGTCAATGATCTCCCTGCAATCCAGAATTTTCTTTAAAACCCGGGAGCCGTGACAACAGCCTTATTCCACTAAGGCAAAGAGATAAGATCCCAACCACCACTGACTTTAGCAAGACAAACATGGGACCAAGCAACAAGAGACTTCTTTGAAGGATTAGCTTTCCATGTCCATAAGAAAGCTCTGAATTTAACCTCTATTTCTTTTAGAATCTTCTTGGGAAAAACAAAGATTTGAGCCCAATAAGTTTGAATTCCAAACAGAACACTTTTAATTAACTGGAAGCATAAGACAACAGTTTAGCCGCCCATCCATTGATTGTCTGTGATCCTTTCAGTAAGGGGCCTACATTGAGCAATAGTTAGCTTCTTAGAGGATAAAGGCACACCAAGGTATCTAAAAGGAATAGAGCCTTGAGCAACACCTAATCAATGCCACCAAAGAAAACTTCACTCTTGTCCAAATTAGCAGACAAACCAGAAGCCAGTGAGAACTTAGTGAAAGCTTGAAAAAGCAGAAATAACATCAGCTCTAGAAAACATCAAAAGATCATCGGCAAACATAAGGTGAGTCAAGAGAAGCTTTTCACATCTTGGATGGTAATTGAAATCAGGATTCAGCTTCAACTCATAAAGACACCTTGATAGATACTCCATTCCAATTGCAAAAAGGAAGGGAGACATAGGATCTCCCTGTCTAAGCCCTTTCTTTGCAGGAACCAGACAATAAACTGAGAAGGGAAACCAAGTTCAGCCATCACCTTCCGAAGGAAGTTCCATAGAATCATATGCCTTTTTCAAATCAATTTTCAACATGCACCTAGGAGTGATAAACTTTTGACCATATCCCTTAATAAGCTCAGTAGCTAAGAGAATATTGTCTCCTATATGCTTACCAGGAATAAAATGTCACACAAGTTTTAATAAAGGTTACTATGTTAAAAATAAGGTTACTATGTTAAAAATAAGGTTACTATGTTAAAATTAGAGTCACTATGTTCCATATAATGTTAGTTGCGTGCGTATAAACCTCGGGTTCACAATAATATTATTGTGGACCATGTCAGGCAAGATTTTTCTGTGATATGTACTTTGTATGATCTTGCGTTGGGTAATAACTATTGGACAAAGTTCATTGCTTATGTAATAGAACTTTTGATTGGCCAATTGGCCCTTCATTGTTTTGAAGCTGCTGTGATGGGGCCTAGTATTAGTTTGTGGCACAAGGCTTTTATAGAAATTATGTGGCGGATTTAATTAGAACCAGATTAGTAAGCTCTTTGCAGTCCACTTCAGAGTATGTTTAATCCTCTTATGACTAGGGTAGGTGGATTTGTAGGAGTCACTTGACTTTGCAGTCATTAGAAAACTTTTTTTAACCTGTTCTTAACCCTTTTTTTTTTAATTTTTTATTTGTATTCAGACAACTTTGTCCATATGATGTGCACCCTTTTTTTCCAATAGGAGTATGTTAGAAATTCAGAAATCATTGATTTCTTTTGCACCTCAACTCTTTTAAAAGTCTGAAAGTGTTTCAAAAATTCTGGGTTTATAGTTTAAAATTATCGGTCAATTATTCCTACTTACATTAAAGTGATGAGGATCTTACACTGGTTCTTAAGGTCACATGTAGAGGATGTATGAAAGTTTGATGAGGGTTTTCTTTCACAGAAATGGTCTTTTGTGTTGTAAAATAGAGTTGAACTTAGAATACTTTGTTTGGATAAAAGAAGATGGAAGGAAAAGAAGGTAAAATAAAGGGAGGGGCTGAGGGGGACAAACTATCTTGTTTGGGTAAAGGATTGGGGGAAGTAAGGGGAAGAAGTGGAGGGATCCATTTTCCCTCTTTCTTTAATAAGCATAATCCCTCCATAATTGGAGGGAGGGAGGGACGATGGAGTTCACCTCCCCCTCCCTTTCTTTTCCCTTCCCTTCCTCCTCTTTCCCTCCCCTTCCTTTCCTTTCTTATTTGCTAAGTACAGATTTAAAAGAAAATAATTGTCATAAGGCGGCAGTTCTATTGATCTGAATGTTGTTCAAAAGTTTCTTTTTAGGGATCAAATTTTAGTAATGTCATTCACTTAAGAGTTAGTATGTTCGTCATGTAAAGATGTAACAATATACTAGTTTGTGCAGCTGCTCTTCTGTTCCCAGTAGATATAAAAAATTTGCATAGGTCTATTCTATCTTCTTGAGTCCTCCAACTTTCATTTTCATGTTTATATATATAAATTTCCCATGTTCAAAATATTGCAACATTGAGAGAAAGGAGAGGTGTGGAGGGATGCACAATAATTAACAAAGTGAGATGAGGGTGAAAGAGAGGACCACATTAATCACATGAATTACATAGAAAACCCAAGCGAGATTAAAACTTGGGAATATTAGTAAGTGTATATTAGGTATTTACTGCATGAAATTTCTTCAAAATGGTATGTTGCAATGTATTTGAAAATTCTTAAAAAGGTCAACACTACAATTTTTTAGAATGGATGTATCTATCATCCCCTGCTTTTACTGGACAACACATTTGCAGTAATTTGTGTTATAGAGTAATTTATTGGTTATAATTGTTTAAATTTTTATTTTTATTTATTTATTTATTTTTTAATTCCATATATTGTCAATCCTATTTTTTTATTTTATTTTATTGTTCATTTCCTGCAGGAATGATCATACCAAACTCCTTTTCTGTACAATTGGTATTCTTTTACGGCAAATTGCGGTATGGGGGTTACTAATAGACATGTTATCTGCATAAAACTTATAATTTTATAGCATGACCTTATGGTGAATTTAAAAATATTTTTGTTTGTCTCACATTTTTAGTTGATTCCTCTATTTCATATTATGACTGGGTATTAAGTGCTTTTGAGAATGTACCATTAGCACCAAGGCAAAATTATTTCCAACACTTCCTCACATATCCAGGGTGAGTCAAACTGCCTATGGCATGGCAAACAAGTGAGATAAACACCTTTTTGTATGCCTGATTTAGCATTATGGTCAAAATGTCTAATATAATGGCTCAATCTGCTGAGCAAGTCTTCATGTGTGCTGGAAATGCAAACAGTCTTCTTCCTCCACAAGTGATTTATGTAGGAGTAAGCAGTAGTATAGGCAAACTGTCTATTATTTATCATTGTCATGTGGTCTTTTCTACTTGCCTAATATCAGGGTAAGCTACCTAGAAACTTTGCACATTTCGCAGCAGCACCTTAGAGTTGAAGCAGCCAAAAAGTTTTGCAACTGAACCTCTGAAGCTGTTTAAAATAAATCGCCATTACAAGCAATAGTTATGCCAAAGGTTACCATGATCCTTGGTTGAAAGTCTTTGCTTCAAAGCCAATTAGGCTGTTATGAGTAAATGCGTTCTTGCAGTTATTCAGCCAAAAAAGAGTTGATAACCATGATCCTTGGTTAAAAATCTTTGCTTGAAAATCAAAAAGGTTGTTTTGAGTGAATGTGTTCTTGCAGTTATTCCACACTACATATTAATTGCCTTGGGGTTTGGTTTCTTGTCTTAAATGGAACTGCATTATCATTCAATGACAAAGCTTGCTCTCTCTTTAATATATTTTGATATCTTGAGTGTCATATCATATTCATGTAAATCCATGTATTATTTGTTGTATATTTGTTTTTATCTTTCCTTTTTCATCTCTTCAACTTCTATGAAGTGTCAAACTGATACTCAGTTCAAAATTGGAAGTTTCTGTACTGTGTAGCTGATACTTGGCATTGCTTCTTGAATGTTTTAGACATTTATCTGTACAAGCTTGTGGATATGATTGCTTAATTGTTCTATTATTATATAATATATACATGTTTATTTCTTTTATAGGGGAACAAGAGCTTTCATGGTGTTACTCATGTTATAGTTGATGAGGTGCATGAGCGCTCATTATTGGTGAGTCATCAATTTTGATAATTATGATTCATGGAGAGTTTGGTTCAGTTAACAAAGCAGTTTCCATGATATTGTTTATTTTCTATTATTTATACGGAATATTTTTATTTACCCTACCTGCGTTTTATTAGCTTCCTAATACAAGAGTTCTATGTATTTCTGCTGTATGTTGCAAAACCTATTCCTTTCACACATCATTAAAAATATTTTAAAGATTGTCACAATCAACTTGAGAGTTTTGGTTGGACCTTTTGGAAGGTATTGCAATGGAGTAGAATGCATTGCAACGTTCAGCTGGTATTTTTTTTCTTTGGAACCTCAGACCAGCGGTATCTAAATCCATTCCGATTTCCAACTCTCTACAATATCATACAAATCTCCCCCTCAAGATTCTTAACCCATTCAAACTTATATTCAAACCCTGACAAAGTGCTAACCCATTCCAGTTTCAGACCAAACTAATTTAGCAAGTTATGGGTTTCCCAATCCATACCACCGGTATGGGCTCCTAATCTATTTTCTACCTGTTTGTTTAACGAAATGACCCCTTCGTATAGGCAAATTCTCCAATTTTCTAAAAACTAGAACACAAGCAGTTATATCATGAATTAGGAGCATCATCGTGATAATTTCAGAATGCAGTCACAAAATAAGTGACATTGTCCTGGAACAAATCAGAAGAATATAAAACATGAAAGAAGACCCGGGAGTTTTGCTCCAAGCCTCCAACCACACACCACATAAAATCACCATGAAAGCACTGCTCCATCACCTTTTCTCCTTACTTTACCAAACCCCCTATTATAAATTTGCAACCAATCAATAACCTTTAAACGAAAAACCCAAGATTCCTCGTGCTTGTTCAACAACCTCCTCCATAGGCTTCTTGCCACTTCAGAGTGAAAAACTTGTAAACAATGCTTCCTATTAGCATAGCAAAGCAAGTAGTTATCCATTGAGAAATTAAACCTAGCCCATGCATTTGGAGCATTTCATTAGTATTGATCATCCCCAATGCCAAAGTCCACACAAATGTCCTCACCTTGAGAGGAACCCTATCCAAATGATATTTGCTACTAGAAACTGAGGGGGTTAAATCAAGAAACTTACATAGATTTACAAGAAACCGATCCTGAAGCAACTAAAACTTCAGTACCTCTAGTAAAGAAGTGAGCTCCTTTACAATTGCCTGTCACATGGTGGCAGTGGTGATTTTTAAAACTGTAAATCCCAAACGTTAGCACATTTAGAACAAGTGATCATGGACATTGATCACCTGATCAAGAGAATTGGCACAGAAAGACTGCTCCACTTTTCAAAAATCCTCGCAGAAAAGGAATTCTTGGGCCATCTCCTACCTTAAACCTCAATAGGTAGCACCTGTGAAACGAACTTTTTGAAACCACCATGTCTTCCTTAGGTCCCTCAACAACAACAAAGTCTTAGTCCCAAAATGATTTGGGTTCAGCTAACATGAATCGTCACAAGTAGCTCTCTGTCTCCCTTAGGTCCCCCAAGTCATTTAAATAATACTGCATTTTCAAAGGTTGATGAATTTTTTTGATTTGTATCTCTACATACTTTTTAGCTTTTGGCTGTCTGCACTCTGCAATAATTGAAGTGATATTTGGTCATGCTGATCATTTATCATTGTGACTTGTGACATAAACAGGGTGATTTCCTAATTATTGTCTTGAAAAACTTACTGGAAAAGCAAGCTGCATGTGGCACCCAAACATTCAAAGTTATACTCATGTAAGGGGATCATTCTGAACATGTTTTGGACTCATGGACTCTTCCTTTTCTATTACTTTTTTTGTCTAATTTACAAGTGCACAACATTCAGGTCTGCAACAGTTGATTCAAGTTTGTTTTCAAGATATTTTGGGGACTGCCCAGTGATTACTGCTGAAGGTCGAACTTATCCTGTGTCAACTTTTTTTCTCGAAGACGTATATGAAAAAACCGACTTCGGATTCCCCAGCCTGTTTAGGTTTTAAGACATCTGGCCATGAGGTAAATTTTATTTATAAATATATCTGTTTCGGGTTCCTGCCAATATTTAAGCTGGTTGATCTTTTACTTAAATTATATTATTCGTTTTTCCTTTTGTTGTTCTTGTAACCATGGAAACAAAACTCGGTCGTTCCGTTATGGAACGGGCGCTTTGTAACGGGTTTCAGAGAGACCGAACCGAAAACCCCGTTATATAACGACGAGTCAAAAATCGCACCTAACGCAGCGCATCTCCTGTTCCATAACGGTGAAACGGCGTTCTGGAACCGTTTTTCACCGTTCTGGAACCGTTATAGGCATTTAATGGCCGCTAAATTTCAGAAATTCCTACTATCCTTTTTATGCTTTTGCGATTTCACGGCTTCAAGCTTCTGGAGTTTCATAAATGGCGAAGAAGGAGGTTGAAGATGGGTCAAGGTCAAACATTCAGACTATTCAACAGACAACAACAGAAAATATTATAGAGGAGAGAGAAGAGAGGAGAGAGGAGAGAGAAATTAAAAATGAGTGGCTAAAAGATTAGACAGTTGGACCCCAATTTCAATTAACTTCCTTTTCTTTCTATTTTTAATATTTTTGGACCCACCCTCCATTATCCCTTTTTTATAATAAAATGATTTAATAATTTTAAAAGTACACGTACAAGTATTTTAAGTTTTTAACTAAGCAGTACATCTTTAGATTAGAATATTACTGTAGATAGTACTGCACTACTACATGGTCTACATTATAATGTCTTTAGTATTTATTATGGAGTATAGTTTTGGCTATAATATGGTATAAAAACAAAGAATATGGGTCTACAAACTAAAAATTCTGCTTTTGTGAATTTTTTTTTTAAAAATTCACGCCGCGAAACCTGCGATCCGTTTTATTTAACCATTACAAGCCGTTTCCACGACAACGCGACCGTTTCCGCAAAAACTTAGCTATTTTATTTTTTATTTTCTTAGGCTAATATGCTAAGTAAAGAATCATCTTTGAGAAAGTGCAAAGCTCAAATGTCAAATATATATAGGAAATTTTAGAAAATAACACCACAAATTTCTCAAAAATTGGATTATAACACCACAAAATCTCAAATTTTTATCATAATACCACAAAAAAATCCAAAAGTTTGATTTTGCCACCATTTAATGGATTTTTGGATGAAATCCGTTTGTGGGCCCCACTCTGAACGCATGTTAATAAAATATTGGTTTAAAAATAAGATAAATAAAAATAAAAACAAAAATCAGAAAAAAAAAGAAAAAAACCCTAAACACTAATCCAACAACCAGCCCCCGCCCCCACCACCTACTGCTGTGACCCCACCGCCGACAACCCAACTCCAGCCACCGAAACCCCCTCCTTCAACATCGAAACCGTGAAATCGAACATTCTGGGGGCTTCAAAGGTTGATTTCAGCCATTTTGAGAGTGAAGGGTAAGGCCAGGGTGTTTTCGGAGAGGAGGATAAGCGCATAAGTGGTTTTTTGCGGTTGTGTGAAGGGGTTGGCTGGTTTTCGGGGAGTGGAACTGGGAAGGGTGGAGTCGCCGTTTGTAAGGGCGGTGGTTCGGCTGGTTTCGACGATGGGGGATCCGATGGCCGTGGTTGGTTTCTCGGCGGTGGGGGTCACGACCACCGATGTTGGCTGGTGGTTGGGTTAGGGAGGGTTTTTTTTTCCTTTTTTATTTATTTTTTGTTTTTATTTTTATTTGTCATTTTTTTTAAACAAATTGCTTATTGATCCGTGTCCAGAGTAAGCCTCACTAACGGATTCCATCAAAAAATCTGTTAAGTGTTGGTATAATCTAAATTTTTGGGTCTTTTGGGGTATTATAATAAAAATTTGAGAAATTTATGGTGTTATTTTCTAAAATTTCCAATATATATATTATTGAGAAAAATAAGTGCATGTGATACATTATACATTTATTATCACTTTTTTTGTGGACTACCTATTCAGCAGGACGGAGATTCATTGATTTGGGGTAAACCTGAAATTGATGAGTTTATGTGCTGGTTACATGACAGGAAAGCTTCCTTCATGTTTATGTTTGATGGATTTAGCTGGCTTGCCTTATTGGAATCTTTGTCTTGTTTTTCTTTCTAATTGATTGTAGCCAATACAATTAGAAATTCATTTAGTCTATAGTCTTGTGCACTTGAATGTTGAATCTTACTCGTATATGCCAGTTTTTTTTTTTTTTTTTTTTTTTTTTTTTTTTTTTTTTTTTTTTATCTATCTATCTACATAATGTATACCCTGTTATTATTTAGGTGCAACACAAACTTTATCACAAAATTATGAAAAACACTGTTAACTAGTCCCCACATGACTAACTCATTGATTAATTTTTCTAATCACCCAGCCACTCCCCATAAACTCATCCCTGTTAATTAATAAATCCACCCCATCAACTTCCAAAACCATATCCTCCACTAATATAGAATCCAAAGCCATGGCCACATCCACCATTGCCTCCACCATCAGCTTCAAATTAACTAAAAAAAAAAATCCTTTCCTTCTTTACAACCGTTGCACTGATCTAGCTAGACAGGAGCATAAATCCAAAAATGAGAGGAGAAAAAAAATTAAATAAAAATCAAGAGTCCACTATTAACACCAATAAGAGGAGACAGAATTAACTAAGAATAATTCAACCGCTTTGAAGTAGGTGGTTGAATTTAGATCTAGCTTAGTGGTTGAATTTTTGTCTTTGAAGTTTCAGAACTGAAACATCAGGTCGAATTTGACAACAGTAGGTTCAGTTTAGGCCTTTCTGTCAATTTGCTGGAAATTAGTGCCTTAGTGGTGGTGGACCGCTGGAGCTTATAGAGCTGTACAATTGGTCTAAATTGTAGCAGATCTCTGTTAGTGAAACAAAATCACAATGAAATATAATAAGATACCAACAAATGGAAAGAAAATCGATGTCATATCCTGAACTCTTATAAGGTTTTGAGCAATTAGGGAAACTAAATAAAGGTCTTTAAATGTGTTTCGTTTTGTTCTAGTTTAAACCTTCAAAATTCTGTGGGGCCATTGCATCTATGGATTTTGGTTCAACTTAAAGAAGCAAAGATTTGTTTGTAGCTTGATAGATAGAAAAATTATTTGGCTGGTGGAGTGGGATGTGGTCAAATAATCTTATGTTTGCTAATAAGTTACAAACTCCTATTTATAATGGCTGTTTATTGTATTGAGAAAAGCACCATAGTCCGAGTTGTATTATTATATTGTAGATAGTGCCGTTTTAGGATTAGGACATTGGTCATCCCTTCATCCCTAGTTGTCCACTCAACCATTTTTGAAGTTAGAGCTTATCAACTTTGACCATGAATTCCCATTGATGTATAAGAAAAAAAACATAATTAGGTCTATTTTTTAACATCTTGAGTCATGTAATGTGAGTTTGGGTGAGTTAAAGAGATGTTGTACTATTAGGGATTGGTTTTAGTCATTTTAAGTGTTGCAGCTAAAAAGAATGACAACTTTTTTATTTCCAGAATACAGTTAGTGTGTCAGGTGGATATGTGGATAGAGCTGTGTAACTTGTGTCCATTTTTAATGCACCCTATGGGGATATTTTCGAAGTTGCTTCTTAGTTATGCATAGCATGATGCCCAATTATTCTATCTAATAATTTTCATGGAGGTCTCCCACATTCTTTTATTGTATACTAGATTCAATGTCTATTTGTGATATATGAACATTTATTCTTTTTGTTAGAACAGGAATTTGTTTTAATGACTTTTTTTTGACTTAAAATTTAATTGTCAACTTTACACATTTGAAAATTTACCTGAGTTAGTCTGGATGTTTTTTTTCCGTTTTATGTGATAAGGTGCTGAACTGAAAAAAAAAAAAAATGTTAACAATTCCAAATACTGAATCTTTTAGAAGTGTAAGTCATAACATAATTTTTGTTTGCTTCTTTAGATTGTTGGAGGTTCTATTGACAACCGTAGAGGGATGAAAAGTCTTGTCTTATCATCGATGGGCGACGAAACTCTTCTATTAGAAGAATGCAAGAACCCACACTATGACCCCAGTGCATATCAGTCATACAGTGAGCAAACAAGAATGAATCTGGTATAATATTTGATCCTGTTGTCAGGGGTGTCAATTACATGCTTGTCATGCTTCTTTGTTCTTATTTCAATCAACTATGTTTCTGTGCAGAAAAAATTGAATGAAGGTGTAATTGATTATGATCTTCTTGAAGATTTGGTGTGTCATATTGATGAAAACTGTGGTGATGGAGCAATTCTTGTTTTCTTGCCTGTAAGGTTTTTTCTTTCTCTCTCTCTCTTTTTTTTTCCTTCTTTTCAGGCATCCAAAGATTATTGTGTATTATGTTAGTTAGTTGTTACTGATAGAAAGTTTGGTTGGAGTTATTGTAGGGAATTTCAGAAATTTACAGGTTACGTCATAAGCTGGCTGCTTCTTACCGCTTTGGTGGAGGGGAATGGCTTTTGCCTTTGCATTCATCTGTTGCTGCAGCAGACCAAAAAAAGGTGTTTCGGAAGCCACCCAATAACATGCGTAAGGTATGCTAGCATTTTAAACGATGATTTCTTTTTAGGATCAGATGTCAGCTTTGTACGTTTTTCCTTTTGGTGTATAAGGTCCATGGCTGTATAACAGGAACAACAAAGAATTTAAGCGTTTGTTTATAGAATTCTACCACTGCAGATGAATAATTATGTTTTGAGATGTGTATGTAAGGAAGGGTAACTTCTTAATAGATATGGATGTGACATCCCTCATTAATATGAAAATTATGGCATGGTCTTTATGGTTAACATGAAAATTATGAGAAGATCTCATTGAGAAATCGGATGTAATTTTATCTCTTGAGCCATTGTATTTTAAAAGTGATGTGCAGAGGTCATATCATATTAATTAAGTATAGCTGCTTTCCTTTTCCTTCTTTGCAAGACTTGTTATGCTTCGTTAATGTGCTTTAAAAATTTCACCTAAGGCATTGAGGCACTAGGAAGTTAGTATAGAGTGCCTTTTGCTCTAGGCAAGGCACATTCTAAAAGACGCTTTTGAAGACTCAAAATTTTTTAAATGTTTATACAGTGTGCCAAAGTTGAAAGTGGTGCACCTAGGCGCAGCAGAATCCCTCTCGCTTTAGGAAGCCAAGATCTTTTATATACATTGCAAGAATATAATGAAACTGACTCATTAGTGTAGACTTCAGTTACTGCTTGATAACATCCAAGTTGAGAAACAGCAACCCCCCCCCCCCCCCCCCCTCCTCAGTCCTTCACCCCAGCCTTTTAGAAGATGAACTATTTGATTATTCTTGGATATGGATTAAATTGATATCATCTGCACTATGTTGTGATTCTTGCAGATTATAATGGCAACCAATATTGCAGAGACAAGCTTGACAATAGATGACGTGGTGTATGTGGTTGATTCTGGTAAACACAAGGAGTACCGCTATGACCCACGAAAGGTTTCTATCAATCTTCTTAGCTTTATGAAATGTGAAGGCTGTTTGATGTATTGATTAAGTTATTGTTACTTGTCAATGGTATTATTGTCTAAGTTGCTCATGGTTACTTCTAGAAACTCTCAATGATGGTTGAAGATTGGATATCCCAAGCAAATGCAAAACAACGACGAGGAAGAGCTGGACGAGTAAAACCTGGTACTTGCTTTTGCTCGTATACGCGCCATAGATTTGAAAAAATGATGCGATCCTTCCAGGTATACCATAGTGCCAGAACTAATATTTGTAGTCCATGTCCATTCGTATGCCCTACTCTGATAATTCATCTAATATGTCCCTAACTTGCTTGATTCTGAAGGTTCCTGAGATGCTTAGAATGCCACTGGTAGAATTGTGTCTGCAGATTAAGCTGCTTTCCCTTGGTGACATAAAACTCTTTTTGTCCAAGGTATGACCTCGAAGATTATCAGAATAAAATTCTAGGCATGATACTTATGTACTGTAGTTGTTTTTTTACTATATATGTGACCAATAGACTGCACTCTGGGACACTTGACCATTGAGATGTAGGGTAGCGTTTATTTTGGGTATGGTTATATGATTTTAAGATTTTGATTTTGTTATCAGGCTATTGAAATGCCGAAGAATGAAGCTATAGATTCAGCAGTCTCATCATTAAAAGAGGTAGTGTTGCTTGGCTTCCAATATTCAGGTTTTGTAGTATTTTCTGCTCTGATTTTGAAAGAGCCCTTCGATATTGTAGAACATAAATCTGTGTATGAGAATCAAATTTATGGCATCCTCCATTTCTACTAGATTATCTTAAGAGTTTCCCTCTTAGCATCCTCGTTCTGAAGACCAAGGCGGCAGCAGAAAAAATTATCATGCTTCTAAGATTACAAGATTGTAGCTTGAACGTGAAATTCTTGCCATTCGCCTGTAACAGAATACCTGAAATAACTGCCAAGGCCGCAAGCTGCAAGCCTATGCTTCTTGTGCTTTGAGCTTTTAAATTCTACTGAATTTTGTCCTACTTACCTTGCAATTGAGCAAAAATTTCAGTACTTTTTTAGAAAAATTATCTCTATTCATTCTTCTGCCATGAAATTGTTAGATGTGTCATACAGTCAATAATTTATGTATGAAATGTCTTGTTAGTATGAATAAGCTGTGTATCCACAATAATTTAGGAGGTGTTATTTTTTTTACTCTTAGACACAGTGGCCATTGCTGAGGCTCACTATTTAAGATAGGCCCAGAGCATACATTTTTAACTTTGAGTAAAAAGAATGCATCATAAAAAAGGAATTAGTTGCAACACAATTGAGGACAAGTCTTCTAGGAAGCGATAGTAAGGGCATAGCTTGCCAGTCATGCTTCCCAAGTTCCCATAGTTCTGTCATAAAGGCACTGAAATAATCAATTTAAGTTTCTCAGCATTATCTATCTCATCACCTAAGAGGCAGTTTCCGGTAAAGGAAGCTAGACTGAAACTCTATTTCAGATACTGTCAGTGGTAATACTTCGATGTCCCATGTCATTTCTTTATAACCATCCTAAGAATCTCCAAGCCAGCTGAATTTACAAACAACCATCTAATTGTCTATTTCTCTTAAAGATGATAGACTTGTAAATGCTGACACCCATTATTGTTAATAACCTTATTTTCAGCATCCTAAAATCCTGCTTTAAATGCAACTGTTCCTGCTCTCTCTTTCTCTCCCTTTTAATTTCAGTGGTTCATATTCTGATGGTAATATGTTTTCTATTCTTCAGGTTGGTGCTGTCGATGAAAATGAAGAGCTAACTCCCTTGGGCATCATTTGGCCAAACTGCCAGTTGATTTGCTGCTTGGCAAGGTATAAACACCATACCTTTTTTTTTTTGTTGCCATTTCCCCCTCTAGAAATCATAATTGAATGTCAACTGTGTTATGAAAAGTACCTTGCTAGTGCGTGCGCACTAACACACGCACACACAAACACACACACACACACACACACATACACACACATCGTATATATCACCATTTGCAATTTTGACGCTATTCACACACTTCTCTTTAACCACATATTTTGATTTCTTATGTATCGTGAATATAGTCATGTAAGGACTTTGTTAATATGATCCTTTCATGTACTTTCTCTTAGACATAAGGTTAATAATGTGCATTGTGATGCGTACATCTCTTTTGGGGTAATATTTGGTGTGTGTGTGTGTGTGTGTGTGTGGAGTGAGAACACATGTGGTACGCAGATCTTGATTCATTAAACCACTTAGAGCAATTTGGTGAGTTATGGCATTTAACTCTTACAATCCTCCATTCTTAGTTTTTTGCTCCTTTTCCCTAATTATATCCTTAAAGCTAATTGATTCTCAAACTGTTAAGAGTGAGTCCAATAGGTGAGAATTCAATGGGTCTATTGATAAAAATACTCATTTTCTCTTCTCATTTAGACTCCGTTGAAGCATTCAAGCTTTATGTTAATTAATTTATATTAAATTTCAACAACTCAAATCATATACTTGGTGATTCATTTGTGTGTGTGTGTGTGTGCATGTGTGTGTTTTAGAAGTCCAATATTATTACCTTAAGGATATTTGTGCTCTTTCCTTATAAAAATTCCTTCTAAGGCTCCGTTGTCATCACCTAAAATCAATAATATTTAGTAAAGTATAGGAAGAATAAGCTAAGTTAGTAAAAGTAAATTAATTTCAGGAAAAATAAGTTTTATTTATTTTAGTAACTGTATTGAACAAATATAATAAATCTGTACAAGTTTAACTCGGTAAGTAAAATCATTTCATTTCCATTTAAATAATTTAGGTTCAGCAAATCTTGATCGTTCTATGCTAATCCAATGATCATGAGGGCTGAAATAGTGCCAGTAGCCGCATGAAGTTGCTTTTGAATACCATTGTATTTTTTTTTCCTTTTGCAGATGATGCTATATGGTGCAATATTCGGATGTTTATCGCCTATCCTGTCAATAGCTGCATTTTTGAGTTACAAATCACCATTTGTTCACCTGAAAGATGAGGTTTCTTGTATTTGTAATACTTGATACTCAAGCATAACCTTTATGATTTAAAAAACCTAGTTCAGTGATGAGTTTCTTTCTGTTTGTCTTTCAGAGAGAAATTGTTGAACGATCAAAACTGGCAATTTTGTCAGATAAGACTGATGGATCTAGCAATTCATACTATAATGCTAGTCAATCTGATCACATCATAATGATGATTGCCTATGAGAAATGGGAGAAGATTCTCAGTGACGTAAGATTGGCATTTTTACAACAATACATGTCTTTCAATCTAATACTTCTTCTGTTTCTTCTTCGTTCACCATCTCCCTAAAATGAAAATGTCATAATAGTTGCAACATTTTCTTATTAAGTACAATTTTGTTTTTTTATCTAGACTGGCCTATATACCCTTAATTTTCACAAAGGAACCTTTTTCAACTTGCCTAAATTCATGTAATTTCCTTACAATACCCTTCATATGCCCCCCTACTTTTTCTCCTAAACTTGTATTCTTGAAACAGTTTGTGTTTATAATGTGAAATTATAAGCAATTGCAGTCTTCCACATCAATAATGCTCTTAGATTTTAATTAAATCTTAGAATGCATGTCACATTCATGAGTTTAGCATGTTATCTTGGGATCTGAATTATATCTTTCTTGATTTCACTTTTTTAATTCCCAGAAAGGGGTTAAGGCTGCTCAAAATTATTGTAAAAAACACTCTCTCAGCAGCTCAGTTATGCACACAATACGGTACTTATTCATCTTCAGCTTTTCTCCTGCTTGATATTTATTGTTCAATTCGTGCATTTTTTTGTCAAACTGTTGAGTATGTTGTGGCATGTAAATTAGTTATTTTGGTGAGAATAGATGGTATTAAATGCTCCCTCTGTTGCTATATGAATCCATCACTTGGGTTTGCCATGAGTTTTATGAGAGTTTATTTGTATTGCAAGCAGGGTAAGTGAGTGATTATAAAAAAAATATATGGGGATCATGAAAGAGAGAGAATGAGAGAGGGAGTATGTTTTTTTTTAATTATTTAAGTGGGAATTGTGTAAGAGAGATATAATAAAATAAAATATTTTGAATGGGAATTATGGGAAGCGAGAGAAATAATATAGGTGGAAAATTATTACAGATAGATGTGATGCATTAAATTTGTAACAGCTAAATAAGGCAAGTGATTTATTTAGGAACAGAGTGAATAGATTAGAGCTAATGTGAGTGAACCGTTTTTGGAGTGTAGTGTGTTTCCAGTGAATGGTAGAGAGCCTTTGGAGAACTAAATCAGTTATACATGAATCTAATATATATAAATAAAGTAGGCATTTTTGGAGAGTATTGGGAGCGCCACATAAGAAAAGGCATATTTCCGACCAATTAAAAATTAGATTTCTATTTTATTTTAGAATTTAAAAAATCACTCGCCACCTAAACAAAAGTGACGAATGAAATTTTAAATTTTTACCACGTAGGTAAAAACGATGAATAGTAATTTATTAGGATTTTAATTATTTAAGAACACTAAATTTTGTCATTTTTATTTGTTACAAAACTAAAAATTATCTTTAGATATTAGGATTTATGTTATTTAAAAAACTAAAAATTATATTTTGATATTTAAAAAATATAAATTATCGTTTGATGTTAATGGTTTTATGTAAATATCTGATGATATGATACTTTCATACAAAATTTTAAAACTTATAATGCAAGAAAAAAATTAAGAGATCACCAAAAAAATATTTATATACAAAATGTATATAAAAATTCGTGCATCGCACGCCGTATAAGCAAAAGTAATGTTTCGACCAATGAAAAATTAGATTTATATGTTAATTTAGAATTTTAATTTTCAGCCGCCATTTAAGAAAAAATTAACAAATGAAATTTGAGAATTGAAATATCTTTTAATATCTTTTAAGAAAAAATAGTAATTTAAGATTTAAATTATGAATAAAAAAAATATCTTTTATATTATCTTTTACATTAGGATTTATATTATTTTAACAAATAATTAGAAATTAAAAAATATATTTTGATTTAATGATTTTATCTAACTATCCGATGAATGAGTAATATTTATTCCAATTTATAAATTCAAGTTCTATATACGTAAAATTTGAATAAAAATAATTTAAAACTTAACAAAATATTTTACCTTAAATTAATGTTAAAATAATAGAATAGAAAAAAAAAAAAAATTAAGAAATTACAAAAAAAATATACAAAATGAAATATTTAAAAATTACATCTAGTCTCAATTAAAATAGAATATAGAAAAGGAAAGCATGTAATCACTTTTTTTTTTTTTTTATCTTTCTCATACAAAATGCACACATGCCCAAAAAATCATTACATATTTTTTATCTTTCCTATACATTATTCCTTTATTCCATCCATTCTCCTTGATTACCGTGTTTTTTTTAAGAAATAGGCTCATCAAAAAGGGATGGAGGGATTATATGTATAAAAAACTGGTGAGGTCTTTTGTGGAAGATTCTTGTTGTTGAATGCCTTTTTAGTTTATATTGAATGAGCATTCATAAAAAATGTAATATAGACTTTAAAGTTTGAAATCAAACTAGAAGCATGAATATAAAATTATCTCTATTGTGATCGGACTTAACTATTAAAAAAATGGAAATTTTGATATTTGTTACAAGGAAAAATACCTCGATTCACATTTGATACCGTTTTAATTAATTAATTAATTAATTTTTTTTTTTTACTTTGCTACTACCTAAATCAGAGTTTGTTAGAAATTACTACCACTTAACGGGACGTTAAGTTTATTAAAAAAAAAAAAATCCAGCCACCCCTCCCCCTCCCCCCTGCAGGCGGACAACGCCCAAAGCTTCGATCGGCGACGTCGACCCCACCCCCTCCCTTTTCCCCACCCACAAAGCCAACCCCCCTCCCTTTCCCCCATCCATGAAGCCAACCCCCCTTCCCTTTCCCCCACCCACCGAAGCCAACCCCACCAAAATAGCTTTCACTGTGCTGACATTGCAAGGTTGTTTTATTTTTATTTATTTATTTTTTTTTTTTTTTTTTTGTGTGTGTAGAGATATGAGAGTGCAACTTGGAACACTATTGGCAGATATTGGTCTCATCCATCTCCCTGACGATTATCAGGTTGCCTTTTCCACAAATAATTTGCATTTTTGTCAGTGCTTGTGCATTATTTACAATCGCAAAAAAAAAAAAAAAAAAAAAAAGATCAACTTTACAATTTCTATCATATCATCATGAATAAAGGCGATACTTTGTTCATTTGAAGACCAATATACCAAATGAGGTGTTTAGGCGTGAGACAATGGAAGTTGAAGCTTGATTACAGTCATGAATGAATTAAATTAGGATTTGTATAGATGTCATTTGATTGACATAAGAAAAATGAGTATCTTTTATTTCATATAAAATTGAAATTCAGTTAGCTGTTTGATAACAATGTGGGTAATGTAATTCTTAGGAGTTTTCTTGCCACAAATTGAAAACTTTCTGATTGATAACTTATGTATACCATGCTGAGCTCTCTGATCCAATAAAGCAGTTTAGGAACAATAGAAATTTCTTTTTTTGCAAAGTAAACCTTTTTGGCAATCACAATTTTGGTCTAACCTAATCTAGTTTGTATCTCTCTTTAGCTAAGCTTGCTAGATCGGTGTATATTTCCATCTTTATCAATAATTGACTTCTCTTTCCTCGTGATTATTTGTTTTCTTGCTTCTTGTGTGTTGGATTGGATTCAGGGTAAGAGAAAAGGAAATCTGGATGGCTGGTTTTCTAATGCATCACAACCTTTTAACAAGCATGCTAATCATTGTGCAGTGGTGAAGGTAATTATATGTCCTTTTTGTGCTGAATTATTTTTTGAAGTGAAATTCACTAGTATTAATGCTGTTGATTCCTGCATCTTCTCTTTGAAATCGTTTTAAAAGAACTTTTTGAAGAAAAATTTTATTGGTTAAGAATGACAAGCAGAAAATTTGCAAGGAGCCTCTTAAAGAAAAAAGTGGTGGTAAATATTTATTATTTAATGTCAAGGCTCATGATCAAGATTTCTGTTCTGGAAGATCCTGTCATCCGGCTCATCCCTCCATCACCAAAAACTCAAATAACAATCAAATATGAGGATTTTATTTTATTTTTTTTCTTTTCAAAAAAGCAATTCTACACTCTCTCTCACAACTCTTACATAATTAACTTGTTGATCCAGCAGACCTAGTAGACAAGAAAATTATTCAATTGCCAATCTGAAATGGTCTACTCTAGCTAGCTTACAATATGAAAAAATCACACATCAGAAAATGAATTGATGATGTTGCCTCATCTTCTAAGTCTTAGCTATTATTAATAGGGTGTGTTGTGTGGGATTTATAGAAAAGGAAAGGTATCCATTTTCTTGCTTTTTCCCTTTGTTGCGTTTGGTTCAATTTTTTATTTTTTTTTTATTTAAAATTCTCTCTACCCATTTCTTTTGTGTAAAATCATCATGTAAGGGGTTAGTGTTGTTTTCACCTCCTCAGATTTTGATTTTGTAAATCCCCCATTGCCATTTGCACTACCTAGTCTCATGCATCATTTAATACCATTCATCACCTCTTCCATCTACCGGTACTACCTCAACTTACCCCCTTTGTCACCCAACACTCCTTCAACAACAAGTATTCCGCGTCTACCCTGAGCACAATTTCACAACTGCTCAAGTCTAAAATCCATAGCCTTTGTTTGCCACACAACTACATCATTCTCTCCTCTCCTCCCTCTTCATCTGTGATCACTTATATCTCCACCATTATCTTATCTGCATCAACGCTTGCCATCAGAAAGGGGAGAAAATGGCCATTTGTTCACCTGAAGCTCATTTGTTCAAAGCCGCACTTTGTTTCCCACAATGGCCAGCCTAGTTCTTCAGCTTTGTGGCTGAGATCCTTATTTTATGGACTGATTTAACTACCAAAGGACTAATTTGAGACATGTAAATGATGAAAACTGTTCAACTAAATTAGGAAACAAAGAACGTTGGTGGTGGCAACTGCAAAGGAAAGAGTGTTGGTGGCGGGGCGTGGTGTTTGAAATATATTAAGGTTTCTGGGAGGATGGAGAGAAAATTATTGAAAGTTAATTAAGGTATTTTTTTAGGAAAATCAAGACCTGTATTAATGACCCAACCAAACAGAATTGGCAATGGGAGTGTTCTGATTAATTTCTTTTCCTTTACTGATTTCTTTCCTCTCATTTCAACTACCACTAGGACCTTTTTTTCCAACTTAAAAAGGTATATATAAAGTGGGTCTGAAACAGTAAAAATAGTTTTAAAGTGTAAAAATTGGTTTGATTCAGTAAATTTAAGTTTTACTGTAAAAAGAAGTTTTGATTAGTGAAACTTGTAGCACTTATGCGACAAAAAACAGTAGTAAATTAGTTAAAATCAGTTTCAATAAGTAAAAATGAGTTTCACTTCAATCAGTATATAATTTCAATCCAGGAAAATGCAAGTGAAGTGAATAAGACCTTATTGCCGACTCTTTTCAATCACACTCAATCCAAAGTCACATGACCAAAGGAAAATAACAAACTCTACAGAAACTCCATGGCGAGTTAGAGCTTATTCTACATGTTTAAGTGAACCGCCTGACAAGAAAAAAAAGGAAATTTTAGCACTGCGGTGAAGTTGCCTGAAAAGAACAATCCTGGCCTCCCAAAAGTGAAATCTGCTGAATTTAATAATTACTATAATGAAAAACTTCTGAACGCATATAAATGAAAATACTTAGTAGTTGTGAAAGATATTAATAAGGAAATGCAATTTTGATATTAGAATCCAAACATAAATCATTTGATGAAAAATTTGAAAATATATGACATTACAGAGTATGCTCCATTTTTTTTTCAAATGCACGGCACTATACCCTCTCATGTATATCAGATAACAAGCTAATAGTTACCATGCCCATTCTTGGTGTTAAAATATCATTTTTAGATTGCACCTATTATAACTTATATATATGTGAGAACTCTTTCATATGTGAAAACACTCTTTGTGTTCTAAATTTTTACTACTATGTTTTAAATATTGGATCAGGCGTTCTAAATTTTTGCTCACATGGTCTAAATATTGAATGTGTTAAATAAGATGTTTTAAATTATTACTCACATGTTCTAAATTTTAAATTATTTGTTCTACATTTACTTATAAGTTCTAAATTTTAAATCGTATGTTTTAAGATTTTTAATCATATGTTTTACATCGTATTTTCAAATTTTTTACTTGTATGATCCAAACTTTTACTCACATGTTCTAAATTTTTAATCATATGTTTTCAACTTTAAATCATATTTTTTTAAAGATTATTTCTCATATGTTCCAAACTCTTACTCATATGTTCTAATTTTTACTCATACATTCTATATTTTAAAGGACAATTTGTCAAAGAAAATCTTTTAAATGCACCATTTTGCGAAAAAAAACCCTTTTAAAAGCTTTTTGGCAAAAGAAAACCCGATTTTTAGTATTTTGGCAAAAGAAAACCCGTTAGTAAATTTTTTTTGTTCAAGACAACCTAATACCTCTAACTATCTTGATTATCTCTAATTTCTTTTAATTAACTTCTAACTCTAATTTAACCATTTAATAATTAAATCAATTTATAAATAAAAACAAAAAACACAAACCAGGCAGCCACCCCCTCCCTTTCTTTCTCCCATGGCAGTCGGCGCTATCCCCAACCGAGCAGTAGTTTTAAACCACGTACCCCCGGCGACCCACCTCCCTTTCAAATTATTAAAAACAGGGGAGTTGTTGAGCTTGACGCCATTAATGGTGACGTTGTCATCCAAATTGAAGGAATTAATGAAGAAAGAATTGTTAGCGAGGAGAGTAGAGAAAGCTGAAACCTGTTGGTGAGCTAACCTTATAGCTTGTGGTGGTCGACATAGTTTGGCTATTGTTAAATGGCAAGCTGAAGATGACGAATTAAGCTATATATGAAACTAATGTTCTTATCACAGACCTTATATTAAAACAGCGGTTTTGTTCCTGCTGCCTGACCTCTGTTTATGTTTGGGTGAAGGAGATGAAACAGTTATGTAGAAGCGAGGGAAAAAATGGAATTGGAGGAGATGAGGGGTTCAGAGACGAAAAGGAGGGTGAGAAACATGGAATTGAAGCTGAGTTTGAGAGGATTTTGCCGGCATTGTTAATGTTTTCGTCGGTGGAGGTGAGTTGAGGAATGAGGAGAGAGAAAGAGAGGCAAAAGAGGAGAGAGAAAATATTGATGGAAGTGACGCCATTGTTGATTGTATTTAAGGTCTCTGATTTTTTGGAAATGGAGGTCTCGGTCGGCAGTGGAACTGAGTTGTCGGGGGCTAACTTCGGGTTTTCTTTTACAATAAATCTTTTAAAAGGTTTCTTTTTACAAATTTTCCAATTTTAAGTTAGGTCTCCTTAATTTTTATTGGCATGTTCTAAATTTAGAACATCTAATTTTAAATTTAGAATGCGTGAGTGAATTTTTAAAACCCTATTTGAAATATAGAACATGTGACTAAAATTTCGAGCATTTGATTTGAGATTTAGAACATGCGAGTAAAATTAAAAAATCCTATTTTATTTTATTTTTTATTTTTTGAGGAAAGAAGATATCCTAATTTATAATTTAGAACACGTAGTAAACGTTTGGAACATACAAGTAATAACTTAGAACATATGATTTACAATCTAAAACATATGGTTAAAAATCTTTGAATACACAATTTAAAATGTAGAACATATAAGCTAAAATTTAGAACAATTAATTTAAGATTTTCAACATGTGACTAATTTAAATAATCTTATTTAACTCAATTAAGATTTTAAACATGTGAGTAAAAATTTAGAACGCCTTATTTAATATTTAGAACATATAAGTAAAAATTTAGAATATAGAGAATGTTCTCACAAGGAAAGAGTTATCACATAAACGAGGGGTTCTCATTGGGGTTTGGGTGTTTCCCGTATATATATTCCAGTAAACATGTAAATCATTCTAGTAAATGGGTCTTGTAATTCAATTAATGATTTCATTTTCACCAAGATGTGTCATTAAATTGATTCAAAAGTATCTTATCCTCCTAATTAAATTAATTGCTTTATCAAGATCTTATAGTTATTGGCAACTAAGGCAAATATTTGTTTGCAGGCAATATTATGTGCAGGTCTCTATCCCAATGTGGCTGCAACAGTGGAGGGTATTCATGCTCCAGCTCTTGGAAATCTAAGGCAATCACTTAAATCTATATCTAAGGGCAGACCTGCCTGGTATGATGGAAAAAGAGAAGTTCATATACACCCTTCTTCTATCAATGGTGATTCAAAGATCTTCCAACATCCCTTCCTTGTGTTCCTTGAAAAGGTCAGTATGATTGAGATTTTGTTTCCTCCATATAGTCAATTCTTGTTTTGTCATTGTCATTTTGCAATAATTGGTGGGAAATATTTCTGTATGCATGTGACAAAGTGGTTGGATCTGTTGAATTTGATTTTTTTTTTTTTTTTTTTTTTTTTTTTTTTTTTTTTTTCCGGTTAATCCAGTAAACTTCAAATTATGTACACTCTATCTGATCATATTGCATTCTTGTCTGTGTGAGCATATATCTGAATCATTTCATCAGATCAAGCTCATTAAATCTGGTGATATGATTACTAGTCATATATCCCAGATATGTCTGAAAGAGGTTATATAATGCAGCATGGGCAGTACTCACTGCTGGTCTGTCAATATTCATTGATGCATATCATGGAAATGAAAGGTGTAATGACCTTCGACCAATACAAGCACCTTGACATGGTGCCCTAAGCTTTTGTTCCTTTCAATATGAATCCCATATGAGATTTAATTCTAGATTGTTTAAAATTCAATCTATGAGAGTGATGACTAGTTCTATACTCCTCCTGTCTAGGTTGAAACCCACAAGGTTTTTCTACGAGACACTACAATCATCTCTCCATATTCTCTTCTACTTTTTGGTGGTTCCATGCAAGTTCATCATCAGGTGAGTTACTTTGCCAGATACCGATTATAAATAAATATCAACTTTGATAAATGACGATCCTTTTTTACTTGTAATTATTTGGCCGTTTTTGGACATATATGTGTTTAATTTGCTTTAAAACTTGTGTTATCGATAGGGTCTAGTATGAAATTGTTTTATTTGGAATTAACCTTATTCCTCTAGGTGATATTCTAATTGCAGCATGGTGCAATCTTCCCAAACTGTGCATTAAGTTTGGATGATTTGATTTGAATACCAATGTAATTTCCATGTTTGAAGTTCTTGCTATACTATTTAGTACTCCGTATTCACTTAATCTCTTGAAGTATATATATTATTCTCATACCCTTTGTGCACCTTGACTATGTTAAAGATATTTGTTGCTGTGTCAAAAAGAAAAAAAAAAAAAAAAGAAAAAAAAAAGATATTTGTTGCTTGCTTCATACATGTAGAACCTTTTCCATCATCAGGGAGAGAGCTAAGTTGCATATAGAGTTGAGTATAGGGAAGGACATGGTCTGATATTGGGCAAAGCTGCATGGTTTGGCATCCTCACCCCCCCCCCCCTCTCCCCTGCGCTCTTTTCAACTGGTGATTTGATGTTTCAACCTTCTAGAAAATAAATTTTAAGACATTCACCAATTCTTAGAAAAGTCCTGCTTTCTTATTTTAGTTGCTAGGTTAGGTTTTTCACACTTGCCCATGCACATTTTTTGCTATCAATATCCCTAATTATACACTCGTAAAAGTTAAAATGTTGAAAGTATATATTGAGGCAAATTTAAGAAGACCCCACATGACTGTATTTTTTATAACGCGTGTCACAAAATGTCAAAGCAGTATTTATGGATAGTGTAACATTTTACAACGTTGCAATTAAAAAAGAACGGAAGAAGTATATTTTCCAATAATGGCATGTTCTTCGGCTCACTTTCATGCATCTCTCTTGGTAGGGAGTGTTGACCACCATGGCCGGTGGTCTTCTTATTCTCATGAAGTGGAATGATCTATGACAAAATTGTTAATTGATTCATGTTTATGTTGCCCCTTTTTCTCCCATAATCCCTACTAAGATTAACTAGAAAATTCTCTTTGAGAAGTACAATTGTAAAATATTGGTTTTTAATTGCAGTTGGGACTTGTAACGGTAGATGGTTGGTTAAAGGTAACTGCACCAGCACAAACCGCTGTGCTATTCAAGGAACTTCGATCAACTCTACAGTCTGTTCTCGACGGATTGATCCGTAATCCACAGGTTATCCCCTTGATCATGTCACCAGGTTGTCACTTTATTACAAAAAAAATAGCAAATGAAATAGATGTTCTTGAACAGACATTTTTTTTTTGTTGTTGTGATTACTTAAGCATGGTTGAGAACAGAGGACATAAACTCATAGTGGTATGGACAGCCATATCTCTGGAAAAAAAAAAAAGAAGCCAAATAGAAGAATATAAATTGAAGCATTTGGCTGTTACTAGTCATGTGAGACATATAATGTTTGAAGAGGTTCAAAGCAAGATAAGCTAATATCTTTTGGCAAATTGGTCCGGAGGATGTATTAGAAGTTTCTGTTATCAGTGACCAATGGAAGCATGAAAAAGATTAATAATGCCTTCGTCCACAAATAAACTTGTACAGTTTTAATGTATGTCCACAATAATAGTCATGTTACTTTGTATGGAAATATCACTCTCAGTTTTAGGCTCAACTTAATAGCTCTGTTTCTTATTATGTGCAACAAAGGAATATTTTATGTCTCACAAATAATACCCTTTTGTTGCCCTTTGTTGCACAAAATAAGAAACGGAGGTAGTATCTACATTTATCTTATATTGTGTTATCTGAATATTATTTTATTTTTTTTAAAGAAACTTATCTGAATCTGAATATATCTTAACTTATGTTGTTTCAATTGCCTTATATGTGCATGAAACTTTTTAGAAAAATTTAGAATTAATTTTGTCTGAAAAAAGAAAAAAAAAACCCTTTGATTTGTAAGAAATTATTAATTTGCCAGAAGACTCAGAACTTACATAACTTTTCCAAAGTTATTTTTCCTTGCCTTGTGGTTTGGGTTTTAGGTTAATCTTACATCATCTTCTATAAAGCCTTCCTTTTTCTAATTTGGATGGAGTATTTGTGGATGATTTTTACATAATTTGTTGGCTTATTGCTATTGGATTTGTTGTGGAGGATATGAAATTTATGTAAAAGCTAGTCTCGTCCTCATTCATGCTTGTGTTGTTCAGTCATCTGGCAAAGACAAATGCTCAAAGGGCTTTTCTCTTTTGGTTTTGTAATTTCTTAATTAAATTACTTATTGTATTAGACATCAAGTACAGATGTACATTGATAAATGATAAATCATGCACCCAAAATGTAATTGAAAAAGTCAGCTCATAGATAAGCTCACCACTATTTTATTTATTTATTCTGGGGGGGGGGGGGAAAGGGTGATAATTGCATTTCTTCCATTCCAATCTTATACCAGATGTTGAAAGATCTTGAAAAAACTTAAAATTAGATGTGGATAAAGAGGAACATAGTGTAATGTTTGATGCGGAGTAAATTAATTGGTTATCCACTTTTGTGACTATATTAAAGGATTAAACATTCTCTCATCGTAATTCAGGCAATAGTCCTGATTTATTGTTTATTTTATTTTCCTCAATAAACTAGAATTTAATTTCTCAAACTTCTTTTTCTTTTATTTGTTTTTGTTTTATAAATTTGCAGAGAGCAACAGTTGAGAATGAAGTTCTGCAATCTATTGTTCACTTCTTGGTGGCGGGAACCAAACCTCAGGCTTAACATATAATCAGCAATACAGGTTAGCACATTATGATACTGTGTCTTTGGCGTATATATGGAAAACAACCCCCCACCCCCCACCCCCCCTCTTGTGATAAGCAATATTTTTTATAAAGCGTTAGGTTTTTTTAATTTGTGAGTGAACTACCCCTGAAAATAGTGACCTTTATGTAAACATGCCTAAAGATAAATAAAATAAATGGGATCTTACATTGGCAAAAAGTTTATAATTCCTACCGATAGAAAGCCACCATATGGTCACTAATTCACTATGTGATAGGAATCCTTCTTGTTGTTTTTCTCTTATTTTCTAGAGCAATCACCTGGATGCATCTTATTATAGAGAAGGCACCTTATCGGAGTGGAGCCTCTCTCAAGTCAACCCAGCCCGAGTAAGCATGCAAGGCCTTTTGGGAATTTTAGGGGGTGGGGTATGGGAAATCCCTAGGTGGGGACTGATCCCATGTGACATAAGATTCCTTACACTTGGTGTTATCCTTGACACATGATTGTGGGATAGATGAAGGTGTTATTTACTATATTTGTCAAGGTGTTAACATACGAATTCAAACTAAAATTGCTTTATGGGAAGACAATATATCATATATTAACTAGTTTTAGGCCCAGACGACGTCTTGTGTTACCACATTATTTCCATGATACTAATCTTTATTAATACTACATCCGTTTCATATTATTTGCAAATAGTATGAAACGGAGGTAGTATTTAAATTTTATTGAATGACATGTAATATGGTATTAGCTTAGTGGTTAACACATTGGCATTTAAACTTCAGTTTGCAGGATCAAATCTTGTAAGAGCCATTTTTTTAATCATGGATTGAAAATTGGATTAAATGAGAAGAGCGTCGCGTGACACCTAAACTTCTTTAGGAACGCCTTCTATACATATAGAAAAATTTGTCAATTGCAGTCATTTAAAATTTTTATTTTGTAAATTGCAGCCATTTAAAAAATAAATTACAAATTGCACCCCAAAACATTCTTATAAATTTATTGCAATTCGATTCAACTTTTTTTATTGGTTCATGTGTCGAATAACATTTGATTAAGGTTTTTATGGGCCATTTTAGCACTTAAGGGTCCGAATTGAGCTCGAAAAAAAAAAAAAAACTTGTTTTGTGTAACAAAAATGTATGAGTTTGTGGGCAACTATTTTTTTTGTTGTAAAAACAAGACACTTATGTTATTTTTTTTTTGTCAATTTCAAGCTAAATTCTGACCCTCAAGAGCTAAAGTGACCTAAGAACTTTTGGATTGCAATTTATTTTTTAAATGACTGCAATTTACAAAATACAAATTTTAAGTGACTGTAATTTGTAAATTTTCCAAATATATACGATGCATTCTGTAATTGTATTGCTCTGTATTCTCAACTCCACCTTATTGTTCTTCATGATGATTTGTCATGGACTACGATGAATCCCATTTGAAATAATTGTGGGTAGCTTTTAATATCATCTAATACTCTAATACTAAAATTTTCTCTTTCTTTCCTCCACCTTTCACTTCTTATGAGGTCATTCTTGGGCCAGGGATAATAAAGTGGAAATTTTGCTTAGAAAAACCTTTTAAAGTGTTCAAAAAAACCTTTTAAATTTTTTTTGGCCAAGAGAAACCTGTTTTAAATTTTTTTTTTTATTTATATATTTTTTTTGTGTGGTTAAAGACAGACAAGTGAGACTTGCTGGTGTTCACTCACACTTTTTCGGTGTTGATCACCCTTTTCCCCTCAGGTGCGACTCACGTGGCACTTAAATCACTAATCACACCCCCCTTTCCTAATTCCCCTTTTCCCTCCAATTACACACACTCTCTCCTGCCCTCTCTCTCTCCTCTCTTTGAACATCATCAATGAAGAACTGAAGCTGCATTCATTTTACAACAACCAAAAATAGTAAATTTTATTTTAAAATCGATTTTTTCTTTTGTTACGGGAAACATATCATTGATACTTTACTCTTCTACTATATCATAGCTAAGGACAAAGCGAAGCGCACTGCGTCATCATCAAGGGAGCGGAAAGCCACACTCACACCTCAAAACACCTCCTTGAACCATAATTACTGCATAATTGAGAAAGCTTAAAGGGGGGGAGGACACTAATTTCTAATCATAGTTTCAAAAAACTAAGAGATGGACAAATTAAACACTTACCTCTAGTCGAAACTTGTTGGGAAAGCATTCAATTGCTTCAAATTAACTAAAGTCCAACAATGGCGTGTGAACACAAAGCAGATAAATAGGAGAAAGAGGAGAGAGAGAAGGGGAGAGAGAGAGAGAGAGAGAGAGAGAGAGAGAGTTTAATCGGAGGTTTAATTGGAGGGAAAAGAGAGTGGAGTTAGGAAAAAGAGGGTGTGATTAGAAAATTAGTAATCACGTGACACGCACATGTGGGAAAAACGATGGTCAACGCCAAAAAAATAAGAGTCAATGCCGGAATGTCTCACTTGGTTGTCTTGAACAAAATAAAAATTAAAACTAGTTTCTCCTAGCAAAAAAAAAAAATTAAAAGGTTTTTCCAAACATAATGTTCGCTTTAAAAGGTTTTTTTTGAAAAAAATTTACTAATAAATTAAGGTGGTAATGAAAGCCAAACAAGAAAAAATATAAGTGATTAGAGGTGGTGTTGGAGGGATATAAAGTGTATAAATAAAATAATGTAATAGTGACATGAGGAAAGGAGACAGGTGAACTTGTGAAGGAATTATTACCCTTATAATGAAGGTAAAAGTTACCCACTCGGCCACCCCTTCCCCTAGTGTAAATATTACCCTCAAAAGTAGGGTAATAGTTCACCTTTCTTCACTTATCACCAGTAGGGGGTGAAAGTAATTCGGTTTAAAACCAAACCAAATCGAAAAAGTAATATGGTTTGGTGTTTTTTCAATACGATGCGGTTTGATTTGGATAAATATAAAAGTACTTTATGTGGTTTGGTTTCAGATTTGGATTTAGAAAAACTGAAAACTAAATTGTAAACCAAAATTTAGGCCCAATATCTAATACAACCCAAATCCTCAAAGCCTAATTCTTAATGCCTAGTTGCCTACACCCTCTTTTAGGCAAAATTACTTATACCCCTCCACTAAATTACCATATATCCCTTATTTCCTTACTATAAGTCAAACTAAAACCCCTTCTAACTAACCACACATTAGTTGTCCACTAATCATGGTATCTTTAATGGACCACTCATACCCCACATATAAATACATTACCAAAAAAAAAAAAAAACATTTCAAATCATTTTCACTCTCTATAGTGTTCTTCTTCATCAATATCTCTAGACTTTCTCTCTCATCAAAACAAAAAAAATCCAAACAATATCACTCCAAAATTACTCCAAATTACTTTAAAATACAATAAATGTCTAAAGAAATTCTTCAATCACAACATTATTTCTTTATTTTTTTGAAAAATCACAACATTATTTCAAGAAAAAGTAAGTAATTTGTTCATTTTTGTGTACAAACCCTAGTTTTTCAATTTAAATATGAGATTATAAGTTATGAAAAATAATATGCTATGATTACACTTATTTTTATGCAAAAATGATTAAAATCTACTATATTTTGTCTATTTTTCAATTTGTAGTTAACTTTATCAAGGAATTTGCAAATTTTGTGTTTTTATTTTTTATTTTTTTGACAAAGGATAAAGGAAAGGAAACTCATACATATTACTATTAAAGCAAATGAAATGGGTGGTAGCCTCTCCTACAATTTGGTGTGCCCTGTGAACACACTTCCTGTCTGCTTTGTAAATATTACAGTGTTGAAAGGTAGACCCTAGAAGTTGAACCTGTTACATATATAAGAACTATAAAATTATCTAACTTTGAAAATTAAGTATAGAGTATAATTGCGCTAATTTTCTAAATTAGTGATTTTTCGTAAATTTACTGAGATTTAAATTAGTTTATATTAAAACTGACTTTTCAGTAAATGTTCATTTTTCATTTTGATAAATGTTCATTATGATATTAGTATATGATCATTTACATTCTTACCTTTCGTCTATTAATGTTCAGTCTTAATTGAGAGAAAATTACCCTAGTTTTGTTTATATAATTCACGTATTAATGATTGTTTACTAAGATTTAAACAAATGTTCATCATTTGAATTTAAATACATACATGTTCATTCTTATATTGAAGATATCCACATAAATAAAAATAATACAGGTTTAATTTCATATTAACTTGATATATACTTGTATATGCTCATAAGCGTCATTTAAGTATTATATTACATATATTTTAACCCTAATATTGATAGATGTTTATTCCAATTTGATACATAGATGTTAATTTGGATATAAGTATATTCATGCATATATTAATTCTTGTTCATTCACATGTTAAAAAAATGTTCAAAAAAAATTCACATATTGTTGTTCATTCATGACAGACCTTTGATAATTCTATTTTAAAATATAATATAATCTTATGGTATTTCATCCACGTGTTATCTCAATGCATGCTAAGTTGTATTTTGACATATTGAATTATTATCAATGGTCATTTACATATTAATAATAAATATTTACTTGGTGTTTTGGGGTTTTTTGTACGTACCCGAGTGGAGGGCGTGTACGTCCCGCGGGAGACAAATCCATAATGCAACACTTGAAGGGCTTGGTCACCTGCAAAACAATGGACCGCCGGGGGGGCGGTGGTCCGCCTCTGACAATCAAGTTAGTGACCGAAATAATGTATTTTAGAGAGAGAAAGTAGAAAGAAGAGAGAGTAATTGGGGGGGGGGGCATTGCCCTTGGAGAGAGAATTGGATCCCCTGAAACTGATGTAATGATTAGGGGTGAGCATGGGACGGGTATCCGTATCGTTAGTTCTAACGGTTCGGGTACTCGATAACCAAAATCACTAAAAGTGATACCCATAACCGGAACCAATAAGTTCCAGTACCCGGATTTTTGGATCGGTTATCGGGTACCCAATATGATATCCAATAATGATAATTAAACTTAATTATGTAGTTATTCTGATATAATTTACAACTAATTAAAAACAATACCATATAATCTTGACCAAATTAATAATATTACTAATCATTGATATTATAAAGTGATTATGAAGTAAAGTAAAAATTTAGATTTATATTAATAGATTAAAGTAGGGAAGAAAGCAAAAAAATGCTTATCGGATCGGATCGGGTAACCGTTAATTTTAAAATGATACCCATAACCATACTCGATAACAAATTATTGGAACGGGTACCCGAACCGTTATGGGTATCAGATCGGGTATCCTAATTTTTTGAACGGTTACGGATTGGTTTTTCAGGGTTTCGGTTTTTTGGGTAGTTTTGCTCAGCCCTAATAATGATCAGTATTTATAGAGCATTGGGACATGTGCCTTTTAGGTTATTTAACCTAAATAGATTGGCTTCCCACCGTTTTACGGTTTCTAGAGTTATGGGCCTGGAGCCCATTTTTACCCTTCTATCATAGAATGACACGTGTCATGCTCTAATTGGCTCATTGAGCGCTGAGCTGGCGGACACGTGTCGTTGTGGCATTGGTCCACATATTGAGGGTATTTTTACCCTAAATACTTAAATTTATATGTTCTTTTTCATATCAATAAATGATCATTTAAAATTTAATACATGTTCATTTAGGTTTTATACATTTTCATTCTCAAATCAAAAGATTTATATATGTTTATAGTGTGTCCATTTTTGAATATGTAATTAGTATTTATGCGTAAATGTTCAATTTTGAATCCTTAGATTTCACGTACTTTTGTTTGGAATGTATTGTTGTTATTATTATTTTTGGTATTCATGCATAAATGTTCAATTTTGAATCCTTAGATTTCACGTACTTTTGTTTGGAATGTGTTGTTTTTATTATTATTATTTTTTTTTTGAAAAAACTTGATCGATATCTTATTGTACAGAATGAACAAGTAAGGAAGTTGAAGGCGACATATATATGGTGCTCATATTATATTTTTCATGGAAAACACACAAATATATTATTAGAGGTGAACACGAACAAGGAGGATACATATAAACACATTTTATTATACCAAATGTAATAAATAATGTTCATTTAACAAGACACATATGTATATTTGGTTCACTTTCATGTTTATGAAATAATTAAATTTGTTATTATTGTTATTAAACTAAATTTATTTTGTATTGGAAATTATTTTTAAGCATCGTTTTATTTAAATAAGCAGAAATCTAAGACATATATATTTACCTACGTCTTACTATGAAACTTACACGTAGCTCTTTAAATGAACATTTGTTAATATAAAAATGAACATATATTGAAACACGAATAAATAAAAACTGAACATTGGATGATGCAATACTTTTTACAATAAAAACGATTACTACTTATAAATAAATTTTTTCTCATAT